TGTGCTGGAAGGTGTGGGGCAGGGGGATGCTATACTGACGGTGGGGAGGGAAAACAAAAACTTTCAGGTTTTGAGACCGCAGTGCGGGACGGGGGAGGATTGTAAATGGTTTTTTCCGCCTAGTGCGGTTGGTTATCAAGACGGAGAGGGAACGGTGAGGGTTTTCAACATGAAGGTTATGAGGGGGTTTGAGGTGGGCAAGGGGCTGGTGGGGAGGGGGGGTTTAATGTTTAGTGATATTTATTGGAGGGTGGTGTTTGTGCTTGAGGGGGGGAGGGAATTAAAGGGGTGGACGGCGGGGAAGGAGATGGTCGGGGGTTTTGGGGAGGGTGAGTGATTCTTTTTTTTTTTTTTTCTTTTTCTTTTTTTCCTGCTGGACTGATTGGGTTGAGAGGGAAAGCTGACATTGAACAGAGAGTGATTCATTGGGGGACATGCCCTCTACTCCGGCTTCGCATAACATGGCGGCGTTTTCGTACGACTTGGTGAATCAGATGATTGTGACGTTGGAGGATGGGGGGAGGAGGCTCGGGGTGAGGACGTTGGATGGGTTGGCCGGAAACAAATGGACATTGGCGAGAGAGGAGGATGATCCGGCTGGGTTGGGGGATCAGAAGGGCGAGGTGCGGTTTACTGCTATCACTGGGAATCCGGAAAAGAGGGTGTTTGGCATGGTGAATGGCAATATCCATGAGTGGCGGTTTTCGAGCGGGAGGCCGAGGAGTTGGGAGTATGTGGGGAGGGTGTCGACTTCGCCTGTTTTGACGGGGTGACCATGGCATGAATATTGAAGATTTGGATCTGTGTTATAGCGAGGCGTTTGGGATTGGGAGGTGAGGTTTTGTATACATCACAACTTGGATATCATATCCGTGGTCATATGGTCGCATAAATTCACCCATCATATTTTATCAAATCCAAGACACCCCCGCTATTCTCCCCCCCGCCCCCGGTCTGGGACTTGGTCTACTTATCTCCCCACGCACACATAATACCCCTCCCACAATTGGTCACAGTTGATCTGACAGAGGCCGCTCAGCAAGAGGTCGATGAATTCGGGTGTGCAGTAGCGGTTGAGGTCATCTTCGCCACCTAAGGGTTCGCGACTTACGGATGGGTTGAGGTCGTAGCTGTTTTACTGTCATTAGCCTGTTTGCTCTTTCTTTTGATCCGCAAAACAGGGGGAACATACAACTGAAGCAGTGTCAAATTCGCCCTCGAGGCCAAGCTGCGGCAAGTGTCGTTCTGGGTAATGACGGCCAAGTTCTTGCCTATGATAATGCCGAAGAGGAGGTGGTCAGTAGGCGTTTTTTCAGGAGCATCTTCCTCACGCCAAGCCAAAGAAATCCCATGTCTCATCCTGCCTGAGTTTCTCATTTCACTCACAGTTACTGGGTGTTCCGGGTAGCGTTGGCCGACTTCCACTCGGGGTTGTCGTCGTAGCTGGCGCTCTTGTCGTCGGCGTTCCGCATGTCCCGCTTGTGACGATTGCCGTGCTGGTCAACACCCTGGTCGAGACTGAGACACTGGTTAGAATAGTTGTCAGTGTCTGCGTTACCGGTACGACAGTCTGAACTGTTCTCGTGGTTGTTGTCGTGGTCGTGGAGGATCTGGTTGACGTGACGGTGACCTCCACCAGGTTGGTGATGACTGTTGTTAGCGTGGCGGTGACTGGGACTGTGGCTGTGCGTGTTACGATGCTAGTCAAGGTGAGATCGACCGTTCGGGTCACAATGGCGGTGGCACCAGTGGTGAGAGTAGTGGTGGAGGTGACGCGAACTGTCTGGGTTGTAAAGGCCGTGGCCGGAACGGTGTTGGTGATGGTCCTGGTAGCAACGACCGTCTGTGGTACAGTGGTCGTAACAGTAGCTGTGTTGGTCTGGGAGACGATCGAAGTGCGGGTGACGGCTACAACGGACGTGACAGTGACAGTGACTGAAGCGGTAGGCCCCGGCGTGATGGGAGCACTGCTGGCAGAAGAGATAGCGCCGGCACCGCAAGAGCCAAAACCTCTTTGGCAGCCATCTGACAGGCAGTAATCAGCCGAACTACCGCAAAAGCCAAATTGCGAGCAGCAGTTTCCGAAGCTCGATCCGGTGCAGGTCACGCCCGAGCCACAAGTGCCATCCTGGCTGACGGTGAGGCGCACCGGAGAAGAAGACGTAGGGGCAGCAGATGTCGTCCGTGATGCCGAGGCTGTAGGGCCACTGTCGGCAATTCCCTCGATGCAATATAAACCACCAGTAACCAGCTGCGAACAGCTCGTGACTGAAGGATTGGACCGGAGGAACTGAGTCACGGTGATGCCGGCGATCTCAGCCAGGATGGCACATGTGTCTCCCTCATAGGCCTCGATGAATCGAGTACATTCTGCCGAAGCCCCCGCAACAGCCAGAGCAGAGACCAGGAGGCCCCTGAAGATCGCCGTAGAAAGCATTGCACGTCTGACTACGGTCGAGAAGCCGCGTTTCATTGTTAGTGAACGGTGGGAACCCCTACAGCATACGATCGACATCTTGCACTTACATGGATACCTTGGCAAACGAGTTCCAAAGGGCCGGAATTGATCTACCGGGTTGGGAGCGGGATGTGGTAGGTGAAGAACTCACTTATGTGAGACAATAAGAAGCTGATCGTCCAGTCTTATAGCATATCCGGGTTCAACCTGCAGACCACCGGGTTCCGGCCATCTTACCGGAGCTGTACCATCATCAGCCACCCGCGAAATCGACATGTTGCACCGCACCGACAGATACCCATGGTTACCAGCGTTGATGGTCTGCTTGCACTTTACGAATTGTCAGCTCAGTGTTTGGTAACGGCCCCGGGCTGGGCTGCCTCTTGCTCGGCAGAGGGTGTCGGGGTGAAGACGGGATATAAATATAGCACGACGTTACGGCATTGGCTCGCATATGGGTATGTTGCGGAGGTTGGTGCGAGGTAGAATTTATGGCTAAACGATTCCCCGCCGAAAGCAATATCGAAGGGATCCGTTTTGTCGAGTAACAAGAAGGCAGGCTAATATCGAGGTTGCATTCTGTCGCTTGACTCGAGCGATTTTGTCTCCATATTCTGCCCTGACCAGGCTGGACCTGCATGACCTCTGAACCTGAAAGCTGATGGCAGTGGCATGTTGCATTCAAATATAAGACGCTGCCCACTCGGTTGTCAGTGTATCGTAACTTGTCCGGCCTTCGTGCTCATCAACAGTGCGGCCAGAGCATTCCAAAGCATCGGCAGTAAATTCGACCAGCGACAGTTCACACTGACTGTTCGAGAGCCAAAAAGATGAGAACAAGTATCCAATTTCATTTCCCAAAAAGAAACGGTCATCCTGAGGGTATCGTGCACAACTGCTCCCGAATATCGTTTCCAGAGATGCCAATTAACTACACATGAATGTTGACAAGTACATAGAAAAGTAGTGGGTATCGGGAGAAAACAAAAGAAAAAGGTCTCGTCCTGGGTCCTGTCGCCTCCTGATTACAAATAAGCTCTGCGCTTGGGTGTTGGCATCAGATCGACTTCCCCCTCAACGGTCCGGAGTGAGGTATTGGTGACGTATTTGATTCAATCTCTCAGGCCCCGCACCATCACGGCCTCCTTGCTGGTCATGGGCGTCGAGTTGTCTTCGTGGCTACGTTTGCACTTTTGGCATTTCCCGCCCGTCTCTTTGGGGTGTGGGATTTGGGCGCCGGTGACTGGACAGATGTAGACTCGCTTGCTGTATGGCTGGTGCATCTGAAAGCAAGAGGGGCATTCTTTGTCGGGTCGTCGAGAAAGAGTGTCTATTCTGTAGCCTGTATTGGGGCATATGAAGACAGACTGCCAGATGATGTCGTGGGCGGCCTGGCAGTGGGTGCAGAGGCCGAGAGGGTTCTCGAGCTCCTCGCCCGTGTTGGGGCAGAAAAAGGTTGCCTGAGACAATGTTAGTCATAAGGGCGCGGAGATTGAAGAAGAAGATATCGGATCAAAGACCCACCGGCACAATGGATTGCTTTTGTCCCATGATTGCTGGTGATGATGCTCCTCCTCAATCGGCGGTTATTTGTTGGTGGTGAAAGGTAAAAGGTTTGTTCGAGGCCCGTCGTTATTTTGACATTGTGATGACCCAAGTGCTCCGCGAGGCAAGGTCAATCTGGAGCACAGCCGCCCGTCTTACCCGATTTCGGATGCTGCGTGACGTCGATTTAACGTTGGCAATTTGCCTCTGGTGACTGGTGAGCGGGCAGTCGACATCAGATGGAGGAGGTCCAGAGGTCTAGAGGTCCAGATTGCAGACGCGGAGGGTTATATAAAACCAACGGGAATCCACAGGCAAGCAAGCAAACCAAGCAGCAGATAAAACCCGGGGTATCTCTCCGGCCACGTGCGGGCCAAGGGGAGCTTCGCTGGGAACGGCATCTTCACCGAGAGGCTCCCTTTCTGCGGGCGGCTGGTGGCAGGGTTCAACGGATGACATGAGACAGGTTCTCGAAGAGCACTGCAGGCCAAAAGTGCAGTGGATGTAACACTCCTTCATTAGGCTATTCCTCCGCCTGTCCGACCGCGGGCCCACTCGGCCGATCATTTCTCTGACTCTGATTTGACTTTCACAGAAACTGTCAAACATTGTTGCGCGCGGGGGGGAAGGGGGAAGCCCAGAGAGGAGAAGACGGCGGGAAAAGAGGGGCCGATGCAGCAGTGAAGGAGTGGAAGGGCGCGGTTGAGTGCCATGTGGTAGGTAAGCACCGAGGCATTTCATGCGTTGAGACAGGCCAGAGCGGAATTCCAGACGTTCGAAATATGGTTCGTGCGTCTCCAAGAAACGTCGTCGTAGTCTTGGCACCCATCCGTCTGGCTTGGCAATGCTGTGTATAAGTCCGAGTGTCAAATGGCAAGGTGAGTCTTTGTCTCCTTGTCTTGGACACCTGCCTGACTGAGATAAGATGGCCAGCATGTGGTGACATGATGCTGCAGCGTGCTCGTAAAAAGCAATCACTAGTTCCGGGTGTAGTGCGCCACAAAAACGTGTGCGAAACGTGGTTTGGAGGACGCTGAGATGCGATCTCGACTGGGCACTGACGGTGCTGCATGGTTTGTGCGCTAGCGCATGCCTCCGGGGCAATGGAATCCCCTAATTGGGCCGCCTCAGGGATTATGCTGCTGTAGACGGTGGTCTGTGCGGGAAACATTGCAGCACTGCCCTGCAACCAACACCATATCGTTATCTAATACCCAACACCCCACTCCCGCTCTGCTCTGCTCGACCTCTTGCCCTGCCCGTGGGATATGTCGGATGCGCATTACGAGAACGGGATGCATGAACTGAACCGCCACCCTCCCCCGCAAAAAGGCGGTCAATTGTTTCTCCTCGGGGCATCAACCTGGTTCTTGGAATTTGGACACTCTCGTGGAACTTTGGAACTGCTGGATGCTCGCTCCTTGGCACCAACGGCTGCTCTTCCGAACCCCCCGGCTCCATCTGATCGAACATGGCGCCGTATCGACGGGCCATCCCGCCCTTCCGCCAGTGTGTTAGTATCAGAAGCAAACTCCATCTACATCATACGTCATGTTTCTCTGGTACCAGCCTTATTAGTTGTTTTGCCCCTCTAATGTGTGGCTTTCCTCTTTTCAGATATTAACCCGTACCGTGGGAGACACCTAACGGCAACACCATGGAGAGAAACCTTGCAACCACACCGAAAAAGCCTATGCCCGAGGTGGAGATGAAGTCCCAGAAACACACACTCCAAACCAGGCTCTCGGAACATCGCCAAGGGTCCATCTACCACACTTGAGGAGAAGAGAAGCTTTTGCAATTGGACTGGCGGACAATCAAGAGATTCGCGTAGACGGGCCGAGTCGTGGGGCAAGTATCGGCTAATTTGTCACCAATATGTTCAGATCACGTACTTGCATCTCCCCAACCCGCACCTCCGGTGTCCGCCTCGGCCCTCCCGGCCGAGAAGGAATGAACCCCCTGTCATTTCATCGACATAAAATGTCTAGGTTGACACCGAGATGTCAGACCTCCACCTCGACTCACCCGGCCACGAAACCTGTACCAAGCCATCAGCTTCAAAGATGCGTTGGTCAACGGCAATCATATTTCTGGCCACGGCTCTGGCCCCGGGGGCACAGTGTCTGTTCACCGGGGGTGGTTTGACCATACTGTCAAAGAACAATCTTGACGGTGAGGTCTTGTCGGATCAAGATGGAGAGTGATATCACTGACACCCGAATAGGTGCCGAAAATGACAAGTCCGCCGCCATCCTCATCAACCAGCCCAGTCCCAACTATGCCGCCGCCATGGCCTGTCAGCTGCTCGGAGAAGAGACATGGGACCCTAAGAAGTCCAAATTCACCACCACGTTGGCGAGATCATTGCCCTATCAAGCATACCTTGGAGTGGTCCCACGGGACCAGCTCTACTGGGTTTCCAAGAGCAACCCCAACGCTGATAAGTGTCGGGCCATTGATCCCACAGGCAAGACTCGCAATGTTGATTGCTCCACCGAGCTACCTACCCTCTGTTCCCAGTCAGCCCGAGTGTCCAACCAGACCGTCGATGACACCTCATCCAACTGGCAAGTCCAGCAGTTTGTTGGTTCGAAACTGGTGACCGGTTACCGCGACCTACACGCCTGGAAGTTCCGCGGCCTGCGCTTTGCCGACCCACCGAGGCGGTTCACCTACTCCAAAGTCGCCAATTACGGAGAGGACGGCGAGATTGACGCCACCAAGGCCGGAGCAGACTGCTCGCAACCCATCGGCGAAGTCACCAGTGGCAGCAGCGAGGACTGCCTGTTTGCCAATGTCTGGACGCCTTACCTGCCGCGTATGGCCGGCCAAGATGCCAAGAAACAGTTGAAGCCTGTCATGCTATATCTCTACGGCGGAGGCTTGACATCCGGTTCTGGAAAGAATCCAAACACGGATGGAACCAACCTTGCCTCGAGGGGCGATGTCGTGGTGGTGTCTGTCAACTACCGCGTCGGTTCGCTTGGTTTCTTGAACCTGAATGATGATGTCCACAAGGGAAACTACGCCATCTCAGACATGATTACTGCCTTGGAGTGGGTCAACAAGTACATCAAGTACTTTGGCGGTGACCCGAACAAAGTGACCTTATTCGGAGAGTCTGCAGGTGCTTTGGGCACTCATGTCGTCCTCAGCTCGCCAAAGGCAAAGGGTCTATTTCACCGTGCTATCCTACAGTCCAACCCAGATGGATACCCAAGCCCGGAAAGGCCTGTCACCCCTGCCATTTTCTACGACACACTGGCCCACAACTATGAGACGACCACCAAGAACGTGTTGAAAGACGCCGGCTGTTTGGATGCAAAAGACAAAGTTGCCTGTCTCGGAAAGCTAAGCGGCTTCGACCTCGTCAACCTGCCGACCAACGCCTAGTAAGTCCACTATTCCGCTTCCATTCTTCTTGTGTCTTTGCTCACGAAACCAGCGGTATCGTCCAAGACGGCCTCTACCTCACCACCCCAACCCTCAACTTCACCTCCACTCTGGCGTCCAAGATTCCCGTCATGCTAGGCATCACCCGCGACGAAGTCGGCGTCATGATTGACGACCCCCCGGCCCCCAACGCAACCTTCATCCAGTACTTCAACACCGTCGCCCAGAAGCACTTTGGCCTTCCCGCCAACTCCACCTCCCTGTTCTCCCTCCCGGCGAGCACTCTCGCCCTCCAAAATAACGAAGCCGCCATACTCAACAGCACCATCTCCCTTCTCTCCTCGTTAATCTTCACCTGCCCCTCCCTCGCCAAAGCCTACAGCGCCTCCCGCCACGGCACCTTCAAAGACACGTACTATTTTGTCTTCAACCGGACCTACCAGATGCCGGGGTACTCCCGTGATTGGTGTCGACCTCCTAGCACCAACGGGTACCCTAAGGGGATTTTGGATATGGAGTACTACAAGTGTCATGCGGGGGAGCAAATGATTGTTTTTGGGACTGAGGCTAGGGGAGGGTTGCCGGACAGGGATGGTAACGACTTTGCTTTTGAGCGGTTGGTGGTTGATTACTGGGGGGCGTTTGCGCGGTGGGGGAAGCCCGAGTTTGGAAAGGGGTATTTGGAGGTGAGGGGGTTTGAGGGGACGAGGAGGGAGGTGGAGAGGTTGGGACGGTGGGAGGGTGTGGATTGGAGGCGGCCAAAGGCGAGGGTGTTGCAGTGGGGTGGGAAGGGGGGGATGGTTGGGTTTGGGGAGTTGAGTGGTTTGTGTGCGAGTTTGGGGGTGGAGTTGACTGTGTTGGAGGGTTGAGATGTTAGGTGTTGGGAAGTGGCTGATTGGCATAGGCTTTTTGCTGGTTTCGGAAGAGGGGTTGGAAGGGCGTCACAAAGAAATACGGCTCTGGTTGCTGTGACGCAGCACTTGAACCATGTTTTTGGCTGAAATAATAGGAAAATCGCCCGGAGTATGATTGTTCGCAACTTGAGCTTTGCCCTGTTCGGTGTTACGTTCTGGAGTAGAATAACCATAAGACGGGATGTAACACCTTTGTGGGGGGGTAAGTTCCGGTTCTGCATGTGAGCTGATGACATCCTTCCGACTGACCTCGACTTGACCAATAGTATAGCTTCGTTGCTGATCCGATTTGTCTCGGGTAGTGCCAGCCTTTTACCAGATCAAGTGAGACATAGCCGGGGTACCGTGACCTGGGATACGTGAACAAGCGAAACCCTCAACCTGCTAGAGAACGTCGACAGAAACAGGTTCGATGCTAGATAGTGTTCCCTCAAGCCTTATCAGCAATACCATCGGTTGCCGCTCGTCACATCTCACATTCCATCTCTCACCCTACGCATAATGTGGCTGTCTCTAGTCCCCGAACTCATGCATGTTCCCAGCCAACCAGCCTCTTGTCTCACCTCAGCCTCGGCCTTTATGTCTCTTTTCTCCACGTCATATACTTAGTCACCTAACCTGTACCGAACCGTATTCTTGTGTGTTCCCTCTTTTATCACAGCTCAAACAAATCACCATGGCAAAGGACGACCGCGAATTCCGCATCCTCATCTGCGGAGGCGGAGTTGCTGGCCTCACTCTAGCAAATGCGCTTGAGGTATTCTTCCCTCCCCGCACTTTCCAAGTCAATATAAAGCACTGATAGCAGGTCCAGCAAGCCTCCATCCCCTATCTCCTCCTCGAACGCCGCCCTGACCTCGCTCCCCAGGTCGGCGCCTCGATCGGCATCTTCAGCTCGGGCGCGCGCATCCTCGACCAGCTCGGGGCCTGGGACCGCATCGAGAAAGAAGCCGAGTGGATCAACCTGCTTACTGCGCGTCGAGCAGACGGGAGCGTGATTTGCGAGGACAGGAGTACTGAGCTTATCCTGGCGAGGACGGGGTACTGCACTGCGTGGGGGGAGCGGCAGGTTTTGCTGCGGGGATTGGTGGATAACATCAGGGACAAGAGCAAGTTGTTGACGGGGAGGAATGTGGTGGAGGTGAGGCATGATTTGGACAAGGGGGTGAGGGTTGTTTGTGATGACGGGGAGGAGTTTGAGGGGGATGTTCTGGTGGGGTGTGATGGGGTTAATAGTTTGGTGAGGGGGAGGATGTGGGAGTTGGCGGGGGTGGTGGAACGGGAGAAGGAGAGTAAGTTGAGCGGGAGAAATGTAAGAGAAACAGAGAGAGAGGAGCTGACTTTGGTGGCAGGTTTGTTCGCTGACCATAACACGCTGTTTGGCATTGCGTACGGGGTGCAAGGGCTGACGTCTGGGCATCTGGATACATCGTACAATATCGGCCGTGTTGGAATGACGATTGTTGCCGACGAGGGAAAGGTGTACTGGTTCGCAGGAGAGCGTCTCTCCCGAAGATACCACCATGGCGAAATTCCACAATTCAACGAACAAGAAGTCCAATCCTTCCTCGCCCGCAACGGCGACCTCATCCTCCGCCCAGACCCCAACCGTCTCACCCTCGCGGACCTCTGGAAAAAAACCGTCGTCCACCGCCTCGTCTCGATCGAACAAGGCAGATTCAAACTCTGGCACTGGGGCCGAATCACCTGCGCAGGAGACAGCATCCACAAGTCGACCCCCAACTTGGGAGTTGGTGGAAACATTGCCATCGAAAGCGCAGCCGCGCTGGCCAATGGGATCAAGAAGCTGGCTGACAAATGCGCCCGGACGGGACAGCTGCGTCCCTCGCCGGATGACATCCAAAAAATGCTCGCCGAGTACCAACAGGAACGGGAAACACGGGCAGCTGCGGTTGTGGACGCGTCGGGCTTCTTGACACAAGCCCACTGCATGCAGACGGCTTATTCTCGATTCTTTGTTAACTGGCTGCTCCCCAACTTTGGAGAGCTGATTGCCGAGCTTTTTCATCACGTTATGATCGGAGCGACGAAGATTGATTACTTGCCGCTGCCGAAACGATCACTCATGGTGACCGCACCGTTCAACCCGACCATGGGGGATGGGAGGAGGGAGAGCAGGTTCGAGAGGGCGTTGTTTGCTCTGCCGTTGTTTTTGATGTCGTGTCTTGCTTTTTGGATCATGAATGTGGGAATGCCGGAGCAGTGGGCGAAAGAGCAGCGTGATGGGGGTTTTATCGCTGTTGACAACATTTTGGTTCCGGTGCTGCGGTCGTTTTATGGCTGGAGGAGTCTTGACGAGACGATGGCGTGGGTGAATATGATCTTTGTGCCGGGTATGTACGGCACATCGGAAGAAGGCCGCCGGCATATGATCACCTTTCTGCTTGAGGGGCTGCCCATCTTTACGATCTGGCTGCTGGAGTCGACACGGCGGGCGAATGCGCTTACTATCTTGCAGCTGTAGGTTCTTGCTCCTCCTCAGATCCTTACCCTTTCTCAATCACTGACCCCCCTCACAGGCCCAACCTCTTCCTCACCCTCTGCCAACTCATGGGCGTGGGCATCATCGGCCCCTTCTACCTCTACCTCCACTACATCCTCTCCCCCATCGAATCCTTCGCCGCCCGCGACAAGCGCCTGACCAACACCCGCTGGTCGTACACCACCCTCCCTGCCATCCTCCTCGCCTACCTCACCCCCCTAATTGGGTTCCTCTTCTCTCCTGACCTCCCCCAACGCCAATCCTGGCTGTTCATCTGGCAACCCTTCCCCATCTGGACCGCACTGGCAATGCTCACCCTCTCCAGACTATTCAGCGACACCGTCAACCAAGACAAGATCAACAACTTCACCAAAGACCTCCCCGTTCTTCGAATTTACATCGGCTTGGGGAGTATCATAGCAGCAGCGGCACATGTATGGGGGAGAAATGGCGGGGTTGACCCGGCACACTGGGGGTTGTTTTTCCCGGGAGGGATCCCGAGACATTACGGGGATTTGACCTCGTTTGCGGTCAATTTCCTAAAGTGGGATTACCTTTTCGGTTTTGGGAGCCACATTGTCTGGCTGGGGTATTTGTTTTGGGATTTGAGACAGGCGGGCATGTTGAGGGAGGGGTGGGGGAATGTGATGGGGTTGGTGGTGGCTGGGTTGGTGACTGTGGGGCCGGGGGCGACGATTGGGGGGGCGTGGGTGTTTAGGGAGGGGGTTTTGGCGAAGAGGTGGCATAAGGATGCGGTGACGGTGGAGAGTGTAGGGAGGCTGCATGGGGGGAGTAAGTAGGGGCACTGAGATGTCTTGGGAGACTTTGACGGTGAGGGAAGACGGTTGTTTGACAATGGTGGTTATGGCCGGGAAGATCACGACTTGAACGGAAAGCGGGCAGAGTCTGGTGCAGGTGCCTGTGGAGGAGTGAGTGGCTGTAATTGCTCAAGCAAATTATGAACGCCAACAAAACAAACTATCATTTTCCAACGCTAAGCCAATGCAATAGCCCATCCTAAGAGATACCCAGAAAAACCGATTGGCCCAATCTACCTTGGAAGTTATCCAACCAGATCAACAAACAAAATAATTCCCCGCCACCACCTCCCCCAACCCAAACCTCTCCTCGAAACCCGCCTGATCAAACCTCACCCTCTCCCACGCACCAATCTTCCCATCCCTCGCGGCCCCCCACCCCATCTCCTCCCTGATTTTGTCTCCAGTCACCCCCTCGGGCTGCTGCCACATCAGACAAACATAGCGATGCGGCTCGCTCCACCCCGGCGGGGAAGGGCCCATGTACTGCGCCACTTCCCCTATGTCATCCTCACCTAGGTTGAACCTAGTGTCCCGCTCCAGAGGGATAAACTGCTTGTTTGTGTCAATGTCATCCTCGCCCGTGAAAGAGGTCGACAATGCCAGGTCGGCCTGCATGCCGTGGAGGATTGGGCCCAGGACTGGAAAAGAAGGGAAGGGGGGGTCGAGGTCGAGGGTGGTGATTAGGAAGCGGGGGATGGTGAGGGGGTTTATGTCAGGTTGGTCTTCATTTTTGGTGGAGGTGGAGGGTTTGTTTGCGTCGTCGTCAGGGTCGGTGTGGGAGGAGACGGGTGAGAGGTCGTTGTTGGGGAATTTGAGGTTGTGGAGGGCCGAGGCCGAGACGGAGAAGGAAGGGGGGGTTGCGGAGGTGGTGGTGGAGAGGTGCTGGCCTGGGGAGGAGACGGTTTCGGCGGGGAAGTGGATGCGGAGGGAGGGGGAGGAGGGGTTGTTGGTGAGGGTGTCGAGGAGGTGGTTGATGCTTTCGGGGGGATTGCGCATTGTGGTGGCTGCGAGGTGTTTGGTTGGCTATATGTGGTTCAGATGTCAAAGACGGAACGTTGAGAAACGACGATGCTGATGGGCTGCAGATCATGGTGAGATCTCAAGGTGATATAGGCATAAGACACGGGATGGTCAAGGTTGACTAATTAAGCGGGGATGATGCAAATCTGCCGTGTGCGTCTGTGTATATGACGCCGGTGTGATCGCACGGATGGAGACTCGATCGGAGAAGGCTCCGAGCATGTGAGTGGAAACCTGATTTAACTTGGCGATCTTCTTTTGCCCCTGTTTATCGGTCCTCTTTGACCGAGTCCTTGTCAACGGTGGCGGCCGTTGACGCCAACGGCGGAGATGTGGGTCTGCCGGATGCGGACCGGATCTTGGCAGCCGTTATCCGCAGCTCGACGGCGGAGGTCCAACGGTGTGGGGTGCGGGGTGCGGGGTGCTTTCTCCCACCCCATTTGAACATGGTTTATAATTCGAGTAGAAATTCCAAAAAAAACCACAGGAAACCCTGTTTCTAGCCAGGACTTGTGTTATTTCAGAATAGCTCCTGCACCTGACCAACCATAGCCAATTTTGAAGACTTACAGTCCGAGCTAACAGAAAGCCTCACATTGCTGAAGGAAACTGTCCTGGTTGTTCCGGTCCTCGAAAAACGGTATCTGCTGTTGTGATTTTCGTTTAATTCTCGCTAACAGGTCAACAGTCAACCAGAATCCTTTGTTTGTGTTTCCGCCGTAATTCCGCCAGTTTTGTGCCGCCAGCCAGCAGTGTAGCACTGTGCTGAAAGAAAAGAGTCCGGCACGCAGAACACTGTGCGGGCGGCACAGCTGAAAGCGTGACCTGTATAAAGCCGCTGTGGTCCCATTTTCGAGCTCAGCATCACTGCGCAGACAACAAATTCTTCAAAGTTTCTCCCGTCGCCATGGTATCTCTCGGTGTTGCCCTCGGCCTTCGGGCTGCCCCGCTTACTGTCATCATACCGAATTACGCGCCCTTTTTCCTGGGCTTGCACTTCTTCTTTGCGTACGGCGTTCTGTCTTCACGCACGCTCAAACAGTGGTACGGCATCGATCACAATGTGTCGCCCCGCTATGATCTTGCCAAGTACGGGGACGCAGCCGTTGCCTCGGGCAAGATCACACAGAAACAACTCGATATGCTCAAACGCAACGAGTCGGCCCACGCAAATGCCGTCGAGAACTACGCTTTCTTTGCTGGCGCCGTGTGCTTAGCTACCGCCGCTGGTGTTGACAGAACCCTGATCAACCGTGCCGGGTTGACCTACACAATTGCACGCGTGGCGTACGGCGCTGTGTACATCCTCATAGACCACCCACAGTGGAGTCAGATCCGTGGTATCACTTGGTGGATCGGCAATCTCAGCTGTTTCTACCTGCTTTACAAAGCAGGAGGAGTGCTCAATTCGTTGTCAAACTAGGGGCACAGAAACAATTTATTACATTTTTGGTTCGTCCATCTTGCGCACCTCGTGTGAGCATGTGTTTCGTGACTTCAAACCCGGAGGCGGTTAGATCCATATGCAAACTCACTAAACAGGCAAATGCTGGTGGGGCTGAGTAGGAGCAAGTGCCTCATTTTGAGACGCAGATGCCTAAAGCTAGCGAGCATGTCTGAAATTTCATTGGATCAGTCGGATTACATGGAAGGAGGAGCCCCTTATCGATAGCATCTCTCGTTGGGCTCCTTCCACCTCTCCCCTAATGTTTTCAACAAGTATGGGACAGCAGGAACTGGCAATATCATGACCGTCAACGTCATTTCCCTCAGATCGCTCGACGCAGACTGCATCAATCATTTCACCGCAGACTTGACCACTGATGAGCGCCGGTTATTCGACACCTCGGTTGCCGCCAAGACATTGATAGAAGAGCTCAAAGCCATTGGTGCTACCCACAAGCAGCATTCAAAGTCACGCCGAGTTGGCGAAGCCCTGATCCCTTTCATCAATGGCCTCGAAACCTACGGCGATGGTCTCAGCATCCTTGCCAATGGCAGCGACATTCTTTGCCCATTATGGGGCAGTCTCCGCATCGTCCTAGACCTGGCCCGCGAGTTTGGCGAGTATTTTGAGAAGTTGGCCCTGATGTTGGAAAACATTGGGACCATTCTCAGCCGCCTCGAACGCTACCCGACATTATACCCAGATAACGAGAATATCAAGGCGCCTATGGTCGACATTTACATCGCCATCTTCGAGTTCTGTGTCCGAGCCAAACAAATCTTCCGCGTGGGCAAGGAAAAATGCCAGGGCATCAAGAGGTTGACGCAAGCGGTTGGCTTGGCCACTGCATTGAGGGTTCTCTGGAAGCCCTTCAGTGTCGACTTTGACGGTATCAAAGACCGCATATCCAAGAATGTGGAGGCCGTCGAGTCCGAGGCTGGGCTGGCCGAGAAAGAGCTGGCTAGCAAGGAACGCACTTTGGCCGGCGAACGTTGGGCAAAGGCCGAACGAAGTCAGAGGTTGATTGCAAACTACGTCGACGCAGAGAGCACAGCCAAAGTGCATGAGTGGCTGGCCCCGGCCAATGTCGCTACAAATCATAAGGCGGCAACAAGTCTTCGTCATGCAAGCTCTGGTACTTGGTTTCTGCACGGCCATCAGTTTCAACGGTGGCTCAGAGAGGACAACAGCTTTCTGTGGCTGCACGCCATTCGTACGTCCAGTCCACCATTCCTTTCTCTTTGAACCTGGGCTAATGTGGGACTCTAGCCGGAGCGGGCAAAACCATCCTATCATCGAGCATCATCAACTACCTGCAAGAAAAGGTGCAGGACCAAAACACCGGGCTCGCTTACTTCTACTGCGATTACAAAGACTCGCAGAAACAGGACCCAGCCAAGATTCTCAGCACAATCCTGGCCATGTTGGCAAAACAGAACAGCGGAGTCTTCGAAAACCTCCAAGACTTCTTTCTTGAGCAGCTTAGACTGGCACCTACATTTACGGCCGAGTTTGACGAGCTTCTTGCAGACTTTAACACTTTTATGAGTGACCACTTCGAGACAGTCATCATTGTCATCGATGCCTTGGACGAGACCAGTCCTTCGTCATGGGAGACTCTCACCGCCGCATTACGGAGCCTCCATGAGCAGTGCCCCAGGCTGAAGATTCTAGTAACAAGTCGGAACGAGCTCCCAATTGCGCGGGCATTTCAAGGCCTGCCAGCCACGTCCATCGAGCAGTCTGATGTCGCAGACGACATTCAAAACTTTGTGGAGGGAGAAGTTGCATCAAGGATCAAGCAAAGGAAATTGAAACTGAGGGATCCAGAGTTGCAAAGCGTTATTGTGGAGAGCCTGGTGACCGGATCAAAAGGCATGTTTCAGTGGGTGCGGTGCCAGATCGATGCCTTGTGCAAGTTGCGAAACGACAAAGCTATCCGCTCTGCTCTGACCAACCTCCCGCGCACGCTGCAGGAAACATACATCCGGATTCTTCAGCGTATAGAAGACGAACACCCGGAGGATGTGGAGATTGTCCGGAAAATACTTTCTTGGTTGGTACGCGGCATCAGAAACCTCTCACTTGAGGAGCTGGCCGAAGCGATCTCGATTGAGCCAGACAATGGAGAGGAGTCCATGGATTTTAATGCCGTGGACACCGACCCCGAGGACATGCTTGAGTTGTTGGGTGGCTTGGTCACTGTATCACCAGACAGGTTTGTGTCCTTGGCACATTTCTCGGTGAAGGAGTTTCTGGTATCAGAAGACATATGCAAGACAAAACCTCTATTCTGTGTTGCCAAGTACGAGACCGAGTCGACTTTGGCATCTGTGTGTCTGACATATCTTTGCTACGACGATTTCGCAAAGCCATTATCGCCTGACTCCGACCAGCTCCAGCAGTACAAGTTTTTGCCTTATGCTGCCAGCGCCTGGGGTTTGCATGCCAAGTACAGCGAGCAAGACGACGAACCGGACGAAGATGTCTTGGATCTGACGATGCGACTCTTCCACTTGACAAATGGCTCACGCAGGAATTTTGTGACCTGGGAACAGTACCAGCACCGTGCAAAATCTGACAAAGCGCTCTCTGGCGTGTCATCAAGGACACCATTGGCCTATGCGGCTTGGTATGGTCTGGCCGGCGCGGCACAGCAACTTCTGGAGGCTGGGGTTGAAGCTGAACAATTGCTTGGGCCATTCAAAGCTGCGGTTTCTCGTGGACACGCTGGCGTTGTCAAGGTCATTCTGAAGTTTGCAACGGCCTCGGGAGACGAGCTACAAGCGAACGGCCCGGTACCGCACCCAGCGGAAAAGATGGCTGAGCTTGACCTTGGCGAAGCACTTTACGATGCAGCAGCTATGGGTCATGCCTCTGTTGTCGATGTTCTTCTGCAACAAAACATCGACCTAGATGCTAGACGACGAAAGGACCGGAGCCCACTTCAAGCAGCAGCCCTTGCAGGGCACGCCGACGTCGTCCGCTTACTTCTCGACAAAAGAGCCAAGCACGCCATCCCCTGTAAACGGTATGGAACTCCACTGGCTGCCGCTGCTGAGAAGGGCCATCGGAAGGTTGTTGAGGTTTTGTTACAAGCTGGTGCAAACCCATGTGGACAGGGAGGCTTGTATTCCTCGCCTCTCACATCAGCCATCGCTGGCAAGAACGTCCAGATTGTTCAGCTGATACTGGAGCATCTTAACGGTGTAAAGGTCAGCAGCCCAGCTCGCAGAAACACTGGACCCCTCGCCATGGCTGCCTCCAACGGTATGGATGAGTGCATCGAGAACTTGGTCGAGTTAGGCTACCCAGTCGAGGACTGCGGTGCTCTGTACCAAGCGTGCTGCGCAGGAAATATCAGCACTATCAACCTGTTGCTGGGTCTTGGGGCAGATGTCAATGAATGGTCGACCTGCAAATATGGCAGTGCCATACACGTAGCCAGCTTCAGGGGGCATCTGGGGGTTTTGCAGCGACTCATCAGTGCTGGGGCGGACCTCAGCGTAACCCATCCAGAGTACGGCAGCCCTCTCGAGCTGGCAGCGTATGGTGGTCATGTCGACTGCGTCAAATTGCTTGCCAAAGCGGGTATCGACATCAACACTGGTGACAATGAAGCCACGGCGGTTGTCCGTGCTGCGGCCAACGGCCACAACGCCGTGATCGAGGCTCTCTACGATCTCGGTCTAGAAAAGGGGGCCACAACAGATGCGGGAAATGCTCTTGTGACTGCAGCATATTTCGGACATTCAGATACGGTGGCCTTTCTCGCGGAACAAGGGGTAGATCTGGCTCTGCTCGGTACGGTTCTTAACAAGCCCATCTCGTGCACACCGCTGGAAGCTGCTGCCTCGAATGGTAAAATGCACGTGGTCAAGCAGTTGCTTCAACTGGGGGCGAGTCCAAGCGAAACCAACAACGGTCGATACGGTGCTCCCCTCTCTGCTGCTCTCAATGCCAAGTCCATCTGTGAAGATATCGTCACGGCTCTATTGGATGCGGGAGCGGATCCAAGCGTCGTGACCGATGAGGAAAGTGGAAGCCACGGGTTTCCACTCCTTTTCGCCGTGAAGCGTGACAGACTTGATCTGGTCAAGATTCTGGTCGAACGCGGGGCTGATGTGAATCTCAAAGCTGGCTTGCTCATCACCGCTCTCCAGGCGGCGGTCGAGCTGGAGAGTGATGCCATCTTCAACTTCTTGCTTGAGGCTGGAGCGGATGTCAATCTTGCTAGCGATTATTCAGATCTCACCGGGAGTATTGACGATGGGCTTGATAAGGGGCCCATCACAGCCCTGCAGTCTGCTGCTTGGCATGGGAAGGATGACCTAATTACAAGGCTCGTCGGGGCTGGGGCTCATCTTTCAGTGGATTTGGGACAAGACGCGCCAAAGCCTCCTTTCAAATCGGCACTCCAGGTAGCATCACTTCGTGGTCATTCCACCACCGTTGACCTACTCCTCAAGCTAGGGAGCGACGCCAACGAAAAGGGTGGCATTTTTACCACGGCCCTGATGGCCGCGTGCTCCCAAGGTCATCTTGAAGTGGTGCGAAGCCTCCTCGCGGCTGGGGCAACCACCGAAGTCATCAAAGGTTCCTGGTACACCAGTCCGTTACTGGCTGCGCTCCGCCATGACGGAGTGGAGGTGGAGCTTATCAAACTTCTGGTTGAGCATGGTGCAAATGTCAATGAAAGAGCCGGCGGTTGGGGTTACCCGCTTCCCTGCGCCGTGGGCTTCCAGTCTGATGATAAAGTGGCTCTGTACCTTATTGAACAAGGTGCCGATGTCAATGCTGTGGGGGGAGTATGGGGCACTGCTCTTCAGGTCGCCGCATACCACTACGACGACGAGAAGTTGGAAACCTTGCTTGACAAGGGCGCCGATCCAAACATACAAGGTGGGCAATACGGCACTGCTTTGCAAGCAGCATACAGCCGGGGCGCCTACGTCATCATCAGGATCCTGTACAGGCATGGCGCTCGGAATGATCTCCTTGGGGGTATGTTTGGGTGTGCTGGCGGCGCGGCAGTTGGATATCCCGGTAAGGATGATTCCTGGGGATCCTGCTCGACGCTGCTCCATCAGATGATCAACTACCACGACTTTGACGTCAACCTTGCCTATGGACGCTTCGGCAATGGACTGCAGCACTGTGTCTGGATGGAGCGCGAAGATGAGCAGTACTTTGTCGAGGCTGGAGCCGAAGTCAACAAAGTAGCTGGTCATTATGGCACCGCTCTCAACGCTGCGGCTGTCACCTATCAGGAGGGCACATTTGATTACCTGATGGAGAAGGGTGCCGACGCAAAGCTGGGTAACGAACTGTACCCAAACGCGCTATTCGCCGCCATCGAGAGCATCGATAAGGGGCAAAAGATCTTTGACAAGGTGATGAAGCTGGGGGTTGATCTGAACGAACCCGTTTCGACGGTCCGTGGTACCGCGCTCCAGGCCGCGGCGCTTCGGAATTCGTGGTACGCTGTCAGGAAGCTGGTCAAGGCTGGGGCCGAGGTGAACCCGGGTCGCGCGTCTGGACGGTGGGGCACACCGCTGATAGCCTCCGTGTCGCAAGGGGAGCCGGAGAGTTGGCGTCTCCTCCTCAGGAAGGGGGCAGACGTCTGCACCAAAGCAGGGCACTTAGGCACGGCTCTCCACGCGGCTATTCTTCATGGCAAGGTCGAGGCGGTGGACCTACTTCTGGGGAGAGGTGCGGATCCCAACGCCAGGGGGGGGAGATACGGGACGCCGCTGCAGGCTGCTTGTGCGTCTAGGGCTTCGAAGTGGGTTATTGCCATGCTGCTTAACCGTGGGGCTGAGATTGATGCCACGGGTGGGAAATACCACACTGCTTTGCAAGCGGCCTGTCAGACGGGGGAGCTAGAGACGGTGGAAATGCTGGTGAGCAGAGGGGCGGATGTGAACTTGAGGGGTGGGTGGTTTTTCAGTCCGTTGTATGCTGCTGTTTTTGTAGGTCATTCGGAAATTGTGAGGTATTTGCTCAGAAACGGAGCTACGTGGGAGGAGGTTGATGTTCAGAGGATGAAGGGACACCATGCGGGCTATTGGGCTGATTGGGTGAGGGATAGTGTGGAGGATGAGAAGAAGAAGGGCGCGGAGGATGGGGAGGAGGATGCGCATGAGGAGGAGGATGACGAGGTGGAGGAAGAGGAAGACGAGGATTTTGTGGCGGATAATGTCGAGTCTATACCTGGGTTTGATCAGCCTTGGAAACGGATGTCGAAGTGGGGGGTTGTTAAGAATCGGATTGCGTTGAAGGTTGGGCTTTTGGAGAAGGCGGCGGTCGAAGTTGAGGTTAAGGAGGGTTCGGGGTCAAGTGAGGAGGAGGAAGTCATCGATCCGGTTTTTCAGGAGGAGTTGCTTTGGGTTGGTGAAGATCTGTTGTAGTAGGATCGAGTAAGTGGTGGGTCATTGGATAACGGAATGGAATTGGATACGTTCCATCTTGGTGGATCTGAAACCGACCCTGAGATTCGTGGGTTGACTGCGGAGAGTGCAGTCGCGGGGAAGGGTTCGCTATGTCGAAGACCACATCGAACGAACCATGGGGAAAGCGGGGCGCAACTGGTAGTTTTGTTGACCTTTTTCACGAGTTGGAAAGGAGTCGAAGAACCTAAGACAGGCTGAGGATCAGGAGGAGGTTTACAGCCTGCCAAACCGCAAGTGAAATTCAAGCAAGAACATGAGTTCTCCCATGTGGTGTAATTGACAGCACGTAGGTTGCTCGCACTCAGCGTATCCCTCATATCCATGTAGAGATCTTGTTGGTTCTTACTAGTGCCTGCGACTAATGAGGTCCTCAGTTCGAGGCGTGGTCATGTTCATCTTTTGCAATCTTTTATCGACAGCCTAATTGTAAGGATGTTATGTAAGCTCGAGGGAAGTATGTTGCTGATTTTTTTGGATTTAGGAGGTGTATATGTTCGAGTTGAACTCCATATTTTACCTTTCTTTTTTCTATTAACGTATTATGACGAACCCCTGTGCAGAACCTCTGAAAGGAATACGGGTTGAAGGTAACTTCTGACAATTGGTTCGGTGCAGCTAAACAGTGCACAACAAGATGTCTCAATGTAAACACAAGATACCGTGAATACAATTGTGAATTGCATACTGCGGAACTGTCTATCTACACCAGCCAGTTCCTCCGTATATATAGACTTCTTTTCCTAGCCGTGATTCCTCTGATCAGTGTCCCGAGTATACTGATCACTTACGCTCAGCCTGATCAGTGCCCTGATCACACTGATCATCCGGCCTGGCCTGCTCAGTCTGATCAGTACCCTGATCGCACTGATCGCCGTTCCTCACTGTGATTGGCTCTCCTGGGTGTTCTCCCGATTGGCCCCTGCTCCCGTGGTTCCACAACCAATCGTTATTCCCGTCCATATACCAGGGTTGTGACATTTTCGCAGCCAGTGACTTTCCTAGGTCACCAGCCTACATATCCGCGTATCTGCGAACGCGTTGCAATTGCGATCTGGTTTTCTCTCACGCACAGAAACAAATATCGCGTAATTCACATGGAAGACTGGATGAAAACCAGCCGAATTGCGTCACCACTCGGTTGACGGGCGCTGTTAGTTGAGGTTAGGTAGGCGGACCCAAGACTTCGTGATATCCACTTCTATATACTATTACCCTTTTGCCTTCAGTTGGCGAGCAAGTATCACTGATTGGTGCACCTTGCTAGCCGTGCCGAATCACATAAAAACTTCCTTAGGGGCGGGTACGGCAGGGGCTGTCCACGTATAGGAGGACAATTTCATAACGTTACTACCATTCTAAATACAGTTGAGATACAACGGGATCATAGCCTAGTAAAGGTATTCCGTGTATTCGAGTTATGTGCATGGAGCCTGGAAATCTATCGCCCGCAGGAAGCACCATCCAGCGAGTGAAGCACGATCAAGATCAAGAAGGCAATTGATTGGACTTCGAAGTGTAAAGGACACCACCTTTGACCTCTTCCAGCTTGTTCCACTTCGGTGTGCTTGTCGACAAAGTAACCCCACTCGGAAATGGATAGTCCTTTCATCGCAATCGATAAATTGTGGCTCAGCCCGTTGGGCTTCTGTTATCGACGTACACATCATTCTCGTGCCGCCCAAGTCATAGCCAACAATCCTGTGATGTGCTGTACTTCGGTTCTGCTTCTTGGTGTAAGCTTTCTCGAAGCTGTGGCCATACCCTCTGAAGCCCTTGATGGTGTCTGTCGGCTGGATACTATGTGTGTGTATAGTGCAATCTTAGTACTGGCAATTTTGACTTGGATCTGGAAGGGGTTTTTGGAGAGCTGAACGAGATATTTCGGCGATAATTTGAAAATTCATATCGCAAGTTTGGTCAAGCCGTACAATGCAATCGCTACGATAACGAAAGCTTGAGGAGACGTGTCTTGAGAAATCTGGACCTGGCAGGATTGAAAAGCATAATTACAACAAACACAGGGCAGCAACGCCATGGTCACGTCTATTAGACCCCAGAACATGATTTGTCACAAATGAGGCCGGTTGCAGTTGCAGTATGAGAGCGTATCTGCGTGCAGAGCCGGGCACGCAAATCAACACCCGGCGCGGCTCCTTGACGAGGCTGTTATTCATTTGCCGACTTGGCGCAGTAATGGAGAAAGGAATGGCAAATGGTGCACTGTGTTATGCACAACATGGATTGCAACTCTTTGATCAGCCAACCAAACCGGTATCTTGCCTGGGACCGCGAGGACCGTGACCCTGCTTGAGACAAAGGAGCTTCCCACACCAACATCATAACAAACCTGACGTACGGTACAACGCTCTACTATCACTACATTAAGTTTTGTTGTATCCATGGCCTTTGCCCCAAGCAAGCATAATTGAAGACATGCTCGTGACCAAAGCCTATTGGCTACCAGAAGTGCAAAGTGGTGGCACCCCTGAGGAGAAAGAAAGTCAGAAAGGCGAAGTACAAAAACGAATAATCCCAATGAGTCAGATGCAGACTCGGATGCAGAGTCGGATTCGGATTCGGAGTCGGAGCCGGAGCGGAGTCGGCTATGTCGTCGATTAGCCAGTCAGCCGCGCGGCAGCCGGACCTTTTCAGTTCAGTGAATCAGAGTCCCGTTTCCGGCGTGCTGGCCGATCAACACCCTCGATCTTGCAAAACTTACCGGGGGCTCCAGAGACACGGGAGAGGTACAGCAATTTGCATCTCATGTCGACGGCCTTCTGTGCGCCGTCGCCGTCGCAAAAAGAATCATGCCGATGCCCCGCGCCCGCCAGTTCAAAGACCTGTGCCGCTTGTCCTTGCTCCCCCCCCCCCCAACATCTTGCTCCAACGTCTGCTACTCAAACTCTCGGCTCAATAAACACATTCCGTTTCGTGCGTTACGTCATTGACTCATCGTTTCGATACACTATACCACGAAAATGGGCGTCCAAGACATCACAAATCCCTTGTTCAGGGACAAGTCCTCGGCGAGCGTCATCACGGCAGCCCTGTTGAGCTCTTCCGTGGTTGTGCTCGTTGTTGCCTTCTTCCGTTTCCTACGTTCCCGTTCATCGTCGCAGAGGTTCATCGCGGAAAACAATTGTAAACCAGCACCAGCATGGCCTCAGAAGGACCCCTTCTTCGCTCTGGACTTCATACTCGAGGGCTTCCGGCACTTCCGCCAGAAGACATACCTTGATCTCTGGAGAAAGTACTACGCCGATTTGGGCCCGACCTTCACCCTCCGGATGCGGGGCGTGCAATACGTCAACACGATCGACCCGGAAAACATCAAAACGATACTAGCATCGCGCTTCCATGACTACAGCCTGTCGGAACGGGTTGAGATCATGGGGCCGCTGCTGGGACGCGGCATCTTTGTGACGGACGGCGACGAGTGGGCGCACAGCCGCGCCCTCTTGCGCCCCAACTTTGCCAAGGACCACGTCGCCGACCTGGGCATGATTGACCGGCACTTTGGCGACCTGATGGCGCTGCTGCGCCCGCACGCGGCGGCCGGGTCCGCCGTTGACCTGCAGCCGCTCTTCATGCGGCTGACGCTGGACACGGCCACCGAGTTCCTCTTCAACAAGTCGACGCGCACGCTCTCGCTCGAGCACGCGCGGCCCGCCGAACACGCATTCGGGGACGCCTTCCAGCTCTCGCTCGACGAGATGGGCCTCGTACTCCGATTGGGGCCTTTCCGCTGGCTCCGCCGCCAGAGCCGCGAGATCACGGATGCGCATAAGTTGTGTCGTGCCTATGTGGACCGTTTCGTCGACGAGGCATGGGCGCTGAAGCAAGGGGGGAAGAAGACGGACAACAGGACCTACTTCCTCAAGGAGCTCGTCGAGAGCACCAACAACAAGGACAAGGTCCGCGACGAGCTCCTCAACATCCTGATCGCTGGTCGGGATACGGTGGCAAGCCTTCTCGGGAGTCTCTTGCGCGTTCTGTCTCAACGTCCCGAGATATGGGCCAAAGTGCGAGCCGAGGTCGCCCAGTTTGAAGGGAAACTGCCGCGCTACGATCAGCTGCGCAACCTCAAGTATGCAAAGTATTGCATCAACGAAGGTAAGAGCCGCCGGACCCGTTGCTTGCTGCATTACCTTGTAAACTTGCCCCTTGATGAGCACTGCTAACACCATCAAAGCCCTTCGTCTTTGGCCAGCCGTCCCACTAAACAGCCGCCTTGCCGTCCGCGAAACTGTGCTCCCACGCGGCGGCGGGCCCAACGGAGACGACCCCGTCTACGTGCCCAAGGGTGGTCTCGTCAACTACTCCGTGTATGCCATGCACCGGCGAACCGACTTCTTTGGCGCCGACGCCGGCGAGTTCCGGCCCGAGCGATGGGAAGGCCAGATTTACAGCTGGGTGAGTTGGAGTCAGGATTCTGCACGAGCATAAGTAGAGATGAAGTAACTGACAAGTCCAAACAAGCAATACCTCCCCTTCAATGGCGGGCCACGCATCTGCCTCGGCCAGCAGTACGCGCTGACCGAGATGCTCGTTGTGCTTGTCCGCTTTGCCCAAGAGTTCAGCCACATCGAGAGCAGGGACCCCACGCCGTGGCAGGAGGAATTGCACTTGACGGTACGGCCGGCTAACGGCGTGCTGGTTGCACTCACGCTTGCAAAGCCTGCTTAGAGGTTCCAACAATAATGAGTCTGGCTGAGGATACGTCCGGAGGGATAATTAGTGGGTTCTCAACGCAGGGGGACCGGCTATCCAATGTTTATTATATGATAATCATGATGATGCTTGAAGAGGCCCTTTCGACGATCCAGGCCCCGTCTTGCCTTGACAAAGCTTAGAACCTGATTGATCACCACCACTCAAGGGGAACAATTACTAGTTTGGATTTTGCTCAAGCGGGAAGGTCACATACTGGTCACAGAGTGAAATTTGCCTTTAGACAACAATGAGGCTGGCAAAATGGAGAGTGTCGGGGAGGATGTTCGTGAAAAGTGGGTGGGACAATTAAATGGGAGAGTATTTACAGTACAAATGAAAGATGTTGTATGAGTCTTTTCCCAAAGTTCCATTTTACAAGTACCGAATCATTGGGTGTCCTTGAAGACCTTTGGGGTATGTCTTATTAGACCCCCCCCCCCCTGATAATGAACAAAGAATTATGACTCTTCCACTATTATCGCAGACGGGATTAAAGATGAAACGCGTAGCCTCCCACGGAGTTGCTTACCTATGCTGCAGGCCCGGCCGCCTAACTGCCCGGTTACCTCCTTGGGTAGGTAACCAAGTGGGAGACTTCCAGTTATCTGGAAGTTACACTCATGTCAAGATGCGGCCTGGAGGAGACGATACAACTCGGATCCTGTCGCCTTGATACCTACCTACTTACCTACCTAGGTGCATGGTCCGGAAGCAGAAGGTGAAAAGCTTGTATCGGGGCCCCTCTAACTTGCTTGCTCTAAATTGCTCCGCACACCGAACACGCTGGAGGGACGGGGCAGTCGTGGTCGCTGTGTGATTCCTCTAAAATTAGGTAGGTAAGCAGCTTGTAGTATTAGACCCACAATCCTCATTTCCATAGACTGTGCGGCCGCAACTGATTGCACACCCACGCCAAACTTTGTGCATTCCTATAGTATAGAGCACCTAGGTGTGGAGTAGGGATTTTACTGTGGAATTGCCACAGCGCGGGGAAGCGTATGGTGGGTCTATGACAAGTTCCACATTGTAACACAAAATACCTACCCACGAGTGAATGATTAAATGAAATTAAACGTGTAGAAAGGGCGTCCAGTGATCATAGTCGACACACCATGGATGGGGGTGGTTTCAAGGTAGCATTGGTAATAAAACTCTTACAAAACAAGCAGGTAAAAGGGGAGCTAGTTTTGTGAGAACCAACTAAAGACCCGATGTCAATCAAATAATTGGTGACAATCACAAAACAGAAGCTATCTTGGTATTGTTCAAGTTGAAGTTGTCAACCCCAGCCTCCGCCTCAACCATATCCCAGACCTTGTCAATCCTTTTTACCACATTTCCCGACAGCGGACCTTTCCCAAGCGCAACAAGAGTCTGGCGCAGTTGCTCCAGCGTCCTCGCCCCGATGACCATCCCATCTCCCCTCCCGGCCTGCAGCGCGCTATGGTATGCCACCCACCGGTAGGCCAACTCGGCCTTTGGAATCCCGCTTTCCGTGCTGATCCTATCCCAGTAGTCCAACGCCGCGAGGAACGCGGGCTTCTTGTACAATGTCACATACAGCCCACCGATGGGGTTGCTCGGATCGAACCGGCCCACGGGGCCATCATCAAAGTCCCTCGGGGATTTGGTCAAAAACCCACCGGCAAGTGGGGAGTACGCGTTGAAAGACATGCCGTGCTTCCGCAGCACGGGGAAGAGGTGGGCCTCCTGCTTCCGGGCGATGAGCGAGTAGTTGCCCTGGTAGACCGTGGGCAGCACGAAACCCCTGGCTTTGGCGATGCGGACCACTTCCTCGACTTCGATTGGTAGGAAGTTGGAGAGGCCGAAGCGCTTGAAACCGCCTTGGAGGAACAGCTCGTTGATTCCATCGAGGGTTTCCTCGAACGGGGTGTTGCGATCGGGGGCGTGGAGGTAATAAACATCTACCTGGAGGGGAGGGGGGTTCTATCAGTCCCTCGTCGGTGTGGCAAGTGGCACCTGCACCCACCCCGTCTTACTTGGTCTGTTTGCAGCATGTGGAAACTCGTCTTGGCCACTGATAAAATGTTGTCCTTGGTAGCAGAGGTGTTGTTGCCAAAGCCGCCAGGATGTTTGGTGTCGATGGAGAATCTGGCTGTGGCGCCTCTTCTCCCGAGAAGCTCCTCGCTGGACCCGTAGATGCGCGCCGTGTCGATTTTGTTAACGCCAAATTCTTCGAGCAAGTCGAGGACTTTGGGGCCGTCAACTTTACGTCGCCAACTCCCTCCTCCGGCCCCGTAAATGATGTTGATGCACGACATGACGACAGAGGAGGGTTGTTGATGGTCTTGATTCGCCGCTCAGAGATCATGCACGCGGAGTGACGAGCAACGTGAGGAAGTGTCAGAATAAGTGGTGGTGGAACCATGTGTTGCATTATTGTTTTTTGGGGGTTTCTGTTACGGCACAGACTGCCAAGACCTCTCAATGGCTTGTGGGGGCTTACATAAGCCAAGTCACGTTACTAGCTGGTTTGCGTGTGACGACCACCCCGCGCACAAAACCACCAATTCGGTCACTGCATTCTAGTTTAGTTCCCCACCAACAATACAACACAACTCGGTAGTAATTGCCGCAGTATTTCTCTTTTATTTACACCGTACCGTGACAGTTTCCATGTTATATCTACTCAGCAAGCTTGGAGACTAGAGTCACAATAGCGTAGAGCCGCATTCTAATGATTGGAAAAGTCGAGAGGGGAGCTCATCTGGATGAAGCTCTGCTGGCGATGGCAAAAGGGAGCTATGCGGCACTGAGCAAGACCAAAGTGTTTTCTGCGACTCTGAGCGGGACCAACGGGTCTTGGACCAACGGGTCTTGGACCAACGGGTCTTGTGCGACTCTGAGCGTAACCAACGGGTCTTGTGCGATTCTGCATGATTCAATAGGCTCTGTAAGCGGTTTTGGTGCTGCTTATCAAGACTCTTCAGGGGCCGTTAGGTGCGGAGCCCGTTATCGAATATTAACAATAACAGTGCACACCGCCTGTTCAAAGCAGTAAGGGGTGATTCGCGCGTCGAGATCAAAAGTTTCATCCCCGGTTTGAGCCAGGCAGATGGAGCGGACTGCAGTATTCATTGGGACGTAGGCTGGGTCTGGAACCTTTTGGTCCAACGACCAAATGAAGTGCTAACCGCCTTCCTAATTGACACTTCATTTTCCTCCAATCGCTGGAAGTTCTGGAGACCTTGCAATGATGGCAAGATTACGACTGCCACATTACACTATAGGGGGGATGGCGACCGGCGCCCCTGAAACTCTTAGAGGTTTGAGATTCCATAGGGTACATGATCTAAAAAAAAGTAGTGAACGTTTTCTTTTGGTAATATGGGATTCAGTATAAGCACACACTGTTTCCTGAGGATGGCTCGTGGGCCTTACCAAACAACATTGAAGATGAACAATGCTTCATTTAGTAGTCTAGCCAATAAGACTCTGTACCAGTTGTCCAACTCAGCCAAGACTGACCGCATGGCCTTTCATGAGTCAAGAGATTCGATGCCACACGTGTAGAGTAGATGCTACAACACTTGCTGCAAGGCTGGGGGCTAGGCAACCTTTCGTGGTATCAATGTTTCTTGCCTTCGGTAAGCAGTTACTCTATCACTTGACACCCATATGTACTGCCGAGGCCATAGACAACAATATGGAAGGACATGATTAGTGTAGGTACGGAATACCCTCGCCACCAATGCAACCTAGATGAGGCCCCGGCAGCTAGTCGAGAACGTATCGAGAAACCGATGCAGAAGCTTTGTGCAGCAGCCTTTAGCGTACTAATTATGTTCCTGCAATGACAAAGCGACGCTCGAGTCCGATGTCCGAGGTAGGGTTAAATGCAATCCTGGTCCAGCTAGGAAAGCTTTGCTGAGATCCCGGCCGATCAGATTACTGGATTTACCCCGCGTGTTACCCTTCGGACGGCACAGTCGCTCCTTCAATGGCACAGTCGCTCCTTTCAGTACGAACAAATAGGTCCAAAAACATATAAGCCACTCTTCCCGCTACAACAACCTAGAACCTTCGCTACCTACTTATCCGTTCCGTTAGAATCGACTCCCAGCGCGTGGCTACTTACCTTGATGTCATAATCCTGGACCCTATTTTGTCTCACCACTCTTCATGCAGGCGGCACAGCCAGCATCAGCAGCCCAGCTCTGTCAGCCGCTCAGTAACGCCGACAGCATGCAGCCCTCCCGGCTAACACCAGGTGCTGTGTCACCTTCGCCGGCACCAGGATGGCAAAGGCAGCCGCCACAGTCTCTGGAGATGCGCATAAACCCGTCCTGGCGACGATCGGCCTGCGACCGCTGTCGCACGCAGAAGTTAAGGTGCGTGCGCGCCAAGGAAAACGACACCTCGAGGCCCTGCACACGGTGCCTGCGCATCCGATGTCCGTGTTTCACCAGCTCAGCCAAGCCTCCCGGGAGAGGTTCTGGCAGACTACCTCCGGCGCCAGCGCCGTCTGCGTCCTCGACTGAGGTAGGGTCGGATGCGGCACCCCCGGCGAACACATCGACATCCGACAGGAGGAAAGCGACAGTGACCCGGCGCCGGGCGAGCGGGGATGTCTCGCTTGAGCCGGAACAGACCTCGCCCGTGTCAATGGGGATGGGAATGGGGTGGCCCTTTAACCAGGACGAAGACCAAAATGAAGAGGCTGGAGTCTTTGACGATGGCGGCATGTTTATGCTGACGCCATCCGAGCAGTACCAGCCCATCGACTTCTTCGACTTTCTAGTCGACAAGGGTTCGAGTGGATTCGATTCCGTCGCCAGCGTTCCCCTAGACGTCCACATGAGCCCCCGGGCAGCTTCACTATCCCGCTTCCGCCCCGTCACGCAAGCCCTGCCGCCCATTCCAACCTTCAACTCCACCTCGTCGCCGTCCGAGTTCCATTTTCAAGGGGAGCTAGACGACGAGCCCGAAGGTGCTGTTGATATTTCGGTTGATGAAGATCAAGCTTGCATGCCCTCTCAGACCCCGAACCCGGCGGTTCAACATTCCCCGGGAGTTTTGCTTGCGCGGCTCCTCGAATCCCTGTCGGTACAGCTGGTCCGGCTCAATACGGAACCCTGGGACCTAGGAGTGCTAAGCGTGACAGGCTCGATCGCGAACTCGGGCGAACTCAATCTACTTGAAACGGAGGCGCTCGCTAACGATGAACACACCTTCAATCCGCTGTTTTCCATCCTCGTCAGCACGGAGAACTTACTCGATATTTGCAAAATGTTCATGGCACCCGAGAGCAGTGGAGGGTCCGACGAAGCCTCCACGGCGACATCAGTGGCCGCAAGTTCAGCAAGCCGCTCGGGGTCGAAGAGACGGGTGCTCTCCATGCACGAGGCAAACGAGAGCCGTAGCATCCAAAGCGCAGCCAAGCGAACGTGGAGGCCGAACAGTGCCATATCGTCGCTTCCATTCCCCTTCTCTCCCCCCTGCTCCTCCTCCTCCTCGTCTTCGGGCTCAAACAGAAGGAAGTCATGGCCTACCTCCTCCTCCGTACCGGGGATGCCGACCGGCCAGACGACCATCACCGCCGCCCAACTGCTGACCGTGGTCTCGTGCTATCTTCAAGTGGTCACCATCTACAACGACATATTCTCACACCTCCTCTTCAAGCTCGCCTTGCCACCACCGTCACCGTCGCCTTCTACACAGCCCCTGGGGACCAATAATACTGGCCCCATCCCCGCCGGGACAAACGTGACACCCACATCGCGGCAGCAGCGACACTCACACAACCATTACACACAACAGGCCCAGTCCGCCACTCATGGTCGTGCGCCAATGGTGCACAGCCTGGTCCTGGCGGGGTACTCGGTGCTGTTGAACTCAGGACTGCGGATGCGGCTGTTGGTGGAGGTGGTGGAGCATCAGTTCGAGCAGATTGAGCGCGCGCTGGGCCTGCCCGGCCAGTACTGCGTGTCCGCAAGTCACCACCAGCAGGCTCAGCAACAGCACAGGGACATTGGTGGAGGAGGGCAGGGGCTCCTCGCCGGGCGGGAGGTGGCGACACTGCTAGAAGCCGTCATGGAAGGTGCCGATGCCGATGCTGACGGAAATGCCAACGCTGGCCGTGACAGCATGGGAGTCGTCGCGTCGCTGCGGGAAAGCCTTGGGAAAGCGCAGCGAGTGCGGAGCCGGGGGGACTAAGGGGGTTAAACAGACACAAGGGAACTATAGACGAGTACGAATTCTTCTTACTTGCAACAAGAAATAAGGTGAAATAAAAACCAAGAGCCCGAGCGGCTGAGTTTCCAGGATAGATATTGGAAACATAAGCACTATTAAATACAACGAATATTTACAATAAAAGTCATTAAATTTGTTAAAATAAGCCCTAGGCCAATTATAAAACCACATTTAACAAGTACACCATGCAACGGTAAAAAGGTGAAAAAGGGCTATTTATAAGGGCAGTAATCGTGACTTCGTAAAAAGTACCCTATTTTTTACTTTGTTTTCCACAGTTTCAAACCTTAAAGACGATTATTAGAAAGTCGCTGATAGGGAAAATCCCTTGTTAAAATAAGTAGTGACTTTATAAGATTTACCGTGGAAACCAATACATACACCGAGCTAAGAAAACAGCGCTGAGGTACCTTGGCCAGGGCTAGCGACTCCCTACCGTAATAACCACCTAATATAGTGTTACGCCCCAAGCATAATAACCCCGTGAAGGAACCACTGGGTGGTTCCCGAGGTGCTGGGACACCTCAGCCAATCATTGGGCCAGGGATGGGAAGACCCACAAAGTCCCCATGTGACCAATCAGGAGGTGCTCAGTCTGATCAGTGGCCAAGACCACTGAGCACACTGAGCACATCGATCATGAAAGATTGCTCAGTCTGCTCAGCCGCCAAGACCACTGAGCACACTGAGCAAGGTACAAAGATACTTCAGAAACATATGTAGATAGCTGCACATAAATAGGAGGGAGCGCCCAGCGCTCTCCGTGTCGAGGAATCTGATTCCTCACGCAAGCAATCAAGTTCATTTGTCTACAATCTACTCTCAAGTAGTTCTTTGTAGAACGACCTGTTGTTGACAGTGAACCCCTTGTCTGAGACGCTTGTCACAACCTTCGATTTCCTGTCATATTCACCTCTGGCGTACTGCCTTGCAGTCTGTATCCATTCCCGGTGCAGGTTGTAACATATAGGCATACATCATTGAATATCCACACTCGATTCACGACGAAAAGAAAGATGAAAATAAGGATATTACTACGAGTATTATTTAAATATATTTTGTTTCGGTTTCATTTGCTTGATCGTTAACCTTAGTGATATTTTCGACTTTCACCTTTGGATCCCTATTTTGAGAATAATTGAACTAGCGTTAGAGTGTAATGTGGCAATGAATCAACGTTTAAACATCAACTCGTGCTCGGCCGCAGCTCAACATTATTATTTACACGGGTGCACCAGCTCTAGCCATGCCCTAATCTTTTAGCTAAGCCAAATACCTAGATGTTGGTAGCTATGAGGTACAGTGTAACCTGATAAAGCCACACGGCCTGCGCTGTTTTCCACCGTCCACAATTATTTGTCAAGCCACGCGGCTACGCCGCATAGAGCGGCGAGCGTCTGATGATGTCTGCGGCCCGCTCTGCGACGGCGTACAGCGTGGCGACGGGGTGCCCGCTGAAGTGGAGCGGGATGACGGACATGTCGACGACGCGCACGTTGGCCGTCCCGTACACCCTCAGTTCTGGGTCCACCACACCACCAAGGTCCCTGGACATCATGGCCGCCGTTCCAACGATGTGGTGGTCGACATCCACTGTGTTTGGATGTTTCCAAAGAGTTAGCTAGCCGCTATTTTTTCCCGTTGTTGGCTGTGGGGGGTTAGGTGAGCTCACAGGTGGTTTTGATAAACTCTCTCCACTGGGCGTCAGTCGCGTTCTCTGGCAGGATGTCCAGGCTCGGGCGGATGCGCTCCGACACAAGCGGGCCTAGTGCATCCGTCTTCCCCAGCCGCGCGGCCAACTTGGCGGCCTGGGTCTGGGCCGTGATGTCAAAATCGACGAGGTTGAACCGTGGGTCGATCCTAGGCTCGTTGATCTTGGACACGTCCGCCGAGGCGAGGTGGACACTGCCGCGCGAGAAGGGGAACAGTGTCCAGTGCTGCGACATCAACATGCCGTTGCCAAAAGCCGTGGTGACAAACTCAACCAGCGTCGTCGCACCCTCCGAGTCCCCAAACACTAGGTCGTGCTGCGCCCGCAGAACCGCCTCGACGGCGCTCCTGTTCAGCAGTGCGCCGGCGTCACCCGATGCCGAGACAATCAGGTCGGCCCAGCGCGGCAGCTCGTTGCGGGTACTGTTGGCAATGTCGGCGAGGTCGCTGCCGAATACGTCGGCCGGGCTGGCCCAGGTCTGCGAGACGACGGCGCCCGTGGCGTTTGCCGTGGTGTTGTAGAAGACGATATTGTTTCCCTGGTCCTGGAAATTCTCACCGACCCCTGGAAGACTGACTACAACGGGTATTCCGAGTCTTTTTAAGATTCTACGTCTCGTTAGTTTTATCAAAGTGTTTTCCGTGTCTTGCCCGCCGAGGTGGAGGCTGTGGAATGTTTCACCCACCCTTGATTCCCAACCCCCGAGCTTTCCAAGACAAGCGGGGTTCTGAGTGACCCCGCCGAAAGGATGACCTCCTTGGTGGCGGAGAGGACGACGGCCTGTCCATCCTCATCCAAGTACTCGACGCCTGTGGCGGTATTTGCTTTCTTAGAGCAGGGTTTGTTGTTCTTCCTCCAGACCAGACGCCGAGCCGTGCCCTTGATAATTTTCAGGTTCGGCCTATCCTCAACGGGGTACCAGTATGCCCGAGCCGAGTCACAACGGATGGACGGCGACCCTGGCTCGAGGGTAAGCGGGTTTGCCGATACACCGCGGTTTTTGCCGCGACCCGTGTCGACGTTTGGCAGAAGCCCGAGCTCCTCCCACGCGTCTTGCACCGCCGGCGTGAGGGTCATGTTGCCCAAGGCGCTCCCGTAGCCCGTGTGGATGGGGCCCGAGTAGCCGTGCACGGCTGCGTCAAAAGTCACGCCCGACGCCTGCAGCCCCGGGCCGGGGAAGGTGAAGTTCTCGGCCCCCATGGAGTAAGGGTACAGGCTGGCCCAGTTCCAGCCCGGGTTGCCGAGCCTCTCCCAGGCGTCTAGGTCGGCCTGGTTGCTACGGACGTACGCCATGCCTGGCCGTCGGGACAGATGTCTGTTAGATCACTGTGCTTAGCACAGAAGGTGTGCAGGTACAGGTGATTCCATACCATTGATGGCGCTGGTTCCCCCGATCGCCTTGCCTTGGTGATAAGTCAACGGCGTGTTGTTTACACCGGGCTGGGGTACGGTTTGGTAAGCCCAGTCGATTGGCGTGTTGTACGCCGCCATGGTGATGTAGCCGCTAGCGAGGGTGACGTTGGGGTTGTTTCGCTCGTCGCCGCCGGCCTCGATGACCGCGACGCGCACAGTCGGTGTCTCTGAGAGCCGGTTTGCGACCACGAGTCCGGCGGTGCCGCCGCCAACAATGACATAGTCGAAGACTTCGGCCCTTGTTGCGGCGATTGCGAAGCAGCAGCTTATCTGGAGAAAGACAAGAACTTTCTCATGGGGTTTCATTGTTCGTCAGAATGGACCTGGAGCCCCCTCTCAGTCGTCCGCAGGCTTGTCGAGTTAAGGTAACGTGGAAGAAGTTGATTGTCAGTGGCTTGAGGTCGGCTGTTCGTAACGTTCTCATTACCCAAGAAGGAACGCTACCCCATATATGTTGTAAAATAGAAATTGCATTTTATGATGCATGCGCATGGAGAAGAGGTCATCGCGTGCATTTAGACCATGTCATGTGCGACGCGCTTGGAATAGTAGGCAGATCTGAGTTTGTGGGTCAAGGGCGCAAGGGGAGCTGGAGAAGCACGCGACCTTGCGACAGAAGCAAGCGGCCTACAAGGCAGAAAACAGGAAGGAGCCTAACGGCGATGTTCGCAAGAAGCGCCCCCTGCCGGGTTGTAGTCTGGCCAGAATCCTACAGACCGCTCCGAGAAGGCTCATCTCCCGAAAGTCCGCTCCGAGGACACCGAAGTCTCTATAAACCGTTCCGGCCAAGCCACTAAGGTTGTCCTTTACCCCGACATATCCTCCAGCTTTCCGATTAGACGCCCAGCAGTGGCAGCTAGCGGTGGCAAGCTCGCCGCAGAGTGCTCAAGTCCAAAAGAGAGAGCATGCACTCCAATTCAGAATGTGTTCCGTTCGGAACACACAGAGCCTCAAGTTACCTCGTCAAAACAGTTTGCTGATCAATCCTTTTTGCAATCCAGACTTCCGGGTATAAGAGCTAATTGTCATCCCCGGACAGTGGTATTGCATGGGCTAGGGACGGAATAGATCGTGGCCCTCAATTACACACAACAGGGATGATCTAGGTACATCACCCTGATGGCCAATTGGCCATAGCAGATTGTACCTGCTACTTCCCGCGGTTGTACATACTGCATTCATGCGGCACAACTCTTTGGCCCGTTTTGCCTCGGCTGGGTGCTACGGTAGGAAGGTCACTCCTCAAATGGTGCATACGGACGGTAGCACCGTATTATGCTCCGATCCTTGAGAAAAGAACCAACTTCCGGCGCGCTGCCTGTATTTTCTTGAAAGATGTCGCAACTGTATATACTCAGCCGATATTTTATGGATCCCAATCCCACTTAACAGGTGTGGTCCTTGGTCTATTCCCTAGTGGGCATCTTGTAGATTGTACTTTCTGCTTTCTGCGGTCGTCCTACACGCACACGGCACATTTTTTCCCCCGTTCATTCCAGGTCCGATCCTCACGAGAGAGAATTAACTGCCGGGGGCTGCCATCAGTTTCCTCCCGAGGAGCTTCCCCGCCGGTTACAGGTCAGGTTTGGCTTGTAGCAGCTCAAATAGCACAATGACCTGAGGCATCGTTTTTCACACTCTCTCACCACTCAGATAATATCGAACTTGGCGGCCATGGCAACTCAGACACCTGATCGAAAATCGGATTTGGACAGGGACCCTGCTATCGCTGCAGCAACCACTGCATCGACATCCAGCATGGCGCCCCCGGTCAGTGTCTCAAGGGACGATAACGATACCGAGAACAGCAGCGACGGGAATGGTAACAACAGCAAGACAGGTGGGGCCAAGGACAAGGCCGATAGTGGCGTTACCGACTTCAAGCCCTCACCCCGTTTCTGGGCCATCCTCATCACGTGCGCTATCATAGCCCTCCTCAGCGCACTGGAGAACACCGTCATCACCACGGCGCTGCCTCATATCGTCACCGAGCTGGAGATAGGCGAGAACTACGTCTGGATCACCAATGTCTTCTTCCTCACAGGGTATGTCTTGCAATCAAGGTAGAGTCAGATGAACAAGCCCCGCTAACCTTTTGTTTGGAAAAGTGCCGCCGTCCAGCCCCTCTTTGGCCAGCTGGCCAACATCTACGGCCGTAGATGGGTCACCATGGCCATTGTTGCCTTCTTCACACTCGGCAGTGGCATCAGCGGCGGCGCCACCAACGGCGCCATGCTCATCGCCGGCCGCGCCGTCCAGGGCATCGGCTCGGGAGGCCTTTACATCATCATCGACATTATCATATCCGACCTGGTGCCGCTGCGCGTGCGAGGCAACTACATGTCTGTCGTGCTGCTCACCTACACGTTTGGCATGGGAATCGGACCCTGGGTCGGCGGAATCATTACAGAGAGGACCACTTGGCGCTGGGTCTTTTACCTGACACTTCCGGTTAGTTACTTAATTAATCATGCTAATAATGCCCTCATACCTCCACGAGACTAAGCTCCGTCATTGGTGCTGACCACGGTTCGCTTTATTTCTCTAGATTGGCGGCGCGTCGATGGTTATGATCTTCCTCTTCGTCCGAACCGCGTACAACCGCAGTGAGTCGCACCTTCAGAAGCTAGCACGCATCGACTACACGGGCAACGTAATCCTGATGGCTTCCACCGTTGCCATTCTGTACGCAACCACATATGGCGGCACGACCCACCCGTGGTCATCGGGTCATATCCTGTCCCCGCTTCTGATCGGATTCGCGGGCTTCGTCCTGTTCGGCTTCTACGAGACCAAGGCCAAGGAGCCAGTGGTGCCCCCGAATCTGTTCAAGAACCGCACCGTCGTCATCATCTTCATCGCCACCTTCCTCAACTCGATGGCCCTGTACTGGAACCTCTTCTTCCTGCCCGTCTACTTCCAGGCTGTGCTTGGCGCGTCGGCGGCCCAGGCGGGCGTCGATATCCTTCCGGCCATCCTCACCTCCCTGCCCTTCTCTATCATCTCGGTCCTGATGCTAGTACGCTGGGGCCAGTACAAGCCTCTGCATATTTTTGGCTTTGCCGTCTCCGTGATTGGCAACGGTCTCTTCACCCTCCTAGACCGCGAAACCACGACGGCAGAGTGGGCCATTTTCCAAATCATCAAGGCCATTGGCTCCGGCTTCGTGCTCAACACCCTCCTGCCCGCCGTCCAGGCGCAGACGCTCGAGCGCCACCAGGCCTCGACGACCTCGGCCTTTGCCTTTGTCCGCTCCTTTGGCAGCATCTGGGGCGTCGCCATCCCCGCCGCCATCTTCAACAATCGCTTCTCCCAGCTGGCCTGGCGCATCGAGGACCCGGCTGCACGCGACCTGTTCCAGGGCGGCAACCGGGCCTACGAGAACGCCTACGTCTCCTTCATCGGATCTTTTCCCAAGCCGACGCGGGACCAGATTGTTGGCGTCTATCAGGACGCGCTCAAGCTGCTGTGGCAGATCGCTATCGCGTTTGCGGCCGTCAACTTCCTTATTGTTTTGTTTGAGGAGCGGGTGCCGCTGAGGACTAAGCTTGAGACTGAGTACGGACTGGAGGAGGAGAAAAAGAAGGAGAGTCAGAAGGAGGCCGAGGGGGTTGCAGCTGTTGATGTGGAGAAGGAAGCCGCGGATACCGTTGTGGCAAACGAGCTTAAGACTGGCGATGTCGCCTGACCATGAGATGAACCTGGATTCTTTTGCAGATTTGAAAATACAAAGTGTTAGTGATCATTACTGGCGTCATTTTAACGTGTCCCATCATGGTTGTACATGTCACCAATGTAGGAAGTTCAAATTCCGAGGCAATGGTTGTACTAGGACTGGGAAATTCGATATTTGGGAGAGAAGGTGCAAAAAGATTCCCCAACAAGTTCAGAATGAGCGAAATCATGGATAATTAATATTGAGAATTTGAATGTATGATAAAGTTCACCCCAATATACGAGGCAGAAGATATTTAAAGACTGCTTGTTCTGTGAGATGAGACGTAAAAATACAACGGAGGTATTGACTGTTGCAAGGCACGACACCCAGTACAGCAACTTTCCGTTTTTCCTTTCTTTTTTTCTCCCATCTTTGCCCTCGATGAAAGGTAATGTACCTAGACTCGGGAGAGCACCAAGTTATTACAGCAACGACTTTACATATTGCACAAGGAAATTGCGACATTGTGTAAACACTTCGTTCATTTCACAGCCTAGACCTAATCATAATCTATCACGAACTCTTCGCAAAGGGCGACTGCTTCTCGTCTCGCCATCTCAAACCCAGCCCATGCCTCACAAACCCAACAAGTCTCAAGAATCCTGCGGGATCCTAACCACTAGCTTCTCCCCACTAACCTTGGCCCCACGGAGCATGTCCAGCCCCTTGAGAATCCCATCCCATCCGCCCTTGAGCTCCCTAACCGGATGCGGCACGACACGGCCATCATCAATAAGCGCCTGCATCTCCGCCGCCGCCTCGACCCCCAGCTTGTAAGACTCGACGCGGGCAGGCCGCGTGTACGTCGACCCAGCGCCATAATCAACCGAGTACCCCGTCGTCTCAAAAGCCATAACAACACCCACCTTGACCGCCTTACGCCCCCCCGGCCAAGACGCGTCCAGCGCCTCGAGGCAGACATAGCGGCCGCCTCGGCGCGCAATAGCCCCCATGCACGCGGCGTAGGACTCGGCGTTGGTAATACAATCAAGCGCGTGGCGTATCTGGATACCGTTTCCAGTAGCCTGGCGCGCGTCCTCGACAACCGAAGCAGATAAGTACGATGCGGTGCCGGCGGCGCCGTATCGTCTAGCCAGCGATGCGGATGCGGGCGACGTAATGGCGATGGGCCTGTACCCGGACGCCTTGAGCAGCTGCGAAGCCATCGTCCCCGACGCGGTGGCCCCTCCGTACACAAGCACGGGCTCCGACTCGACCCCGGTGACAGGTCGTGATGGTCTACCCTTCAACGCTAGCATATCCCCGCCCCACAGCGCGAGCGCCGCCGTCGTCCAACCTATGCCGCCTAGGACCGCGGCTTGCGCGTCGGTCCAGCTTGCTGGGACCCGCAGGGCTAGGCGCGCGTCCACGGTCGCAAACTGTGCGAAGGCACCGTCGAGCGGCCGTGCCGGGTTGTACGCGAAGAGGGACCCGCACACACGGTCACCCTCTCGGTAGTTGTGAGAGTCATCGGCTGGTGACGTAGCGATCACGATGCCGCAGTAGTCGCATCCCGCTGTGGCGCCGGGGTCCGGCATGTATGTCGGCATCTTGAAGTCGTTTGGGTTCAGGGCCGTTGTGAGGACGCGGATTAGGACGTGGCCTGCCGGCGGAGGTATGGTTGGCATGGGCACGGTGTTGGATACCGTTAGGGGCAGAGCCGCCGGCTTGGTGCTATCGATTTGGATGATGGCTGTTTGGGTGGCATGGCTGGCATCCGCCGCCGCCGCCGCTGGGTTGGCACTCGACGTTGTCATCTTTTTTCCCAGTCATACAAGTTATAACCGGTGGAAGCTTGAGAAGTGCTGGAATGGGTCTCGGAGATGGACTTGTTCAGTCTGTGTAGTGTCTGGACAGCATTTGGGTCAATTTTTTGTTCTTTCTTCGACCACCATTTCCAAGTCAGTGGTATGTGTACATCACAGAATTATTTTCCCAATGTACCTGAAGGCTCTGAAGCCTCGCCAGGGTGTCATTACCGGCTCCGCCTTCCTCCGACTCTTCGCCCCTTGCCATCCATGGACGTCAATGTGCCGCTCCGAGATGGTGGTCAACTGGAATCCTCCTTTGATGCATCCTTATGCTCCTCCTCCGACGGCAGCCGAGAATCAAGAGAAACGGTTGCCGTCTGGCCTTGCTCACTGAGGAGCTCAGTAGGTCCCATGCATCTATCGGAGGGTCCGTCCTTGCCGGGTGGACATCTATGTTCGGAGGGTTTTCTCCGTATTGAAGAAGTCGGTCAGGTCCCCGACCCTACCAACCTTCCGATGTTGAATTAGACTATACTCAATTGAGCAGGCATTACGGAGATACGAAGTGTTTTTGTCATGATACAATTGGACCAATCATATAGCAGGGTTTTGCAGATTCTAGCGTTGTGATTGAACAGTTTCGTAGAAATCTCCGAGCCCAGACTAGGGCGCGTTTGGAGCTCAAGGTGATCGCCGCTTAGATGAGCAAGCAGTGCAATCAACTGGGTCGAACAAAAGCGTGTGCAGATCTGTTAGCGCTCTGGCAAGTTTCTACACACCACACTTTTCGACCCAGTCGCCAATGCATCCAGAACGGCATTGCACACACACAATGAGGATCCCACAGAGCTGATCAATTACACTATTAAGTTATGCGTGATTGGTATGTGACATCCGAACCTGACAAAGCCTCACCGAATGACTTGCATTGTAACGCTGCATGAAACACTAAGAAGAGAAGCGATCGGCGCTCAATCCCGCCATACCCATTGGCTGAACCTCCAAGCTTTCAACGAATGCTATACTGGGGTACAAGGTACCTTGCGCTATGAGGCCCACTAGCTGAGAACGGCGCCCGAGAATGCGAGACAATGCGCTAATCTTCCATAAGCTACCTTCAATCAACTGCACTGTTCTTTTTCTCTACATCGCTTAGCACCCGGTCATCAGACGGTGGCCCAGTGTCAACGACTCGTTCACATTACTACGCTGTCTCCGATTCACACCTCTCCGAATAAATTGTATCTTTTGCAAACAAACCGTTTCACATGCAAAATGCATTTACCGAAGCCGTGTGCAAGTCTCAAGACAATAGTTGTTCACAGCGGTAAAGGTACTTTAATGTCCAGTCTTCCATACCTAGGCTACCTTAGTCATTACATATTACTCGGACAAGCGGACACATGTGAGATCAATGCTTCATTCCAGCTATGGTAGGATATTCTACCTTTGGAAAACTTATCCGAATCCTCCGATAGCCGCTTAATCTAATATCGGAAATCTTGGAATGCATCCACAACGTTGCCAGCCCCGGATCTCGGTCACAGGCTCACACCTCGACAAGCTTCTCCCCATTCTCCCTCCCACCCTCAGCAGCAGCCGCCTTAGCCACGTCCGACAGCTTGTACCGGATCCTGGGATGCGGGCGGACCCAGGTAGCGTACAGGCGGAGGTCGCGCTCCCAGTGGAACTCGTGGGGGTTCACGACCTCCCAGTCGAGCTTCCAGGCCATCTTGGCGAACAGAATGCGGGCCTGGCGGTAGCCCATGTTCTGGCCGATGCAGCTGCGGGTGCCCGCACTGAAGGGCCGGAAGCACTCGCGCACGTCCTTGGCGAAGGCCGGGTCGTAGTCCGAGTGCGTGGCGGGCAGCCAGCGCTCCGGGCAGAAGTCGTGCGGCTTGTGCCAGTAGCGCTCGCTGTGGAAGGCGGCGAAGATGGACGTCTGCACGCCGCACCCCTTGGGGACGTAGTGCCCGTCCACGGTGGCGCCGGGGGTGACGCGCGGCTGCCCAAAGGACCCGTTGGTGTGCAGGCGCAGCGACTCGTCGATGACGCCGCTCAGCCACGGCAGGTGGGTGAGCTCTTCGTCCTCGATGTCTTCGTATCTCTTGAATTTGCCCCTGATCTCGGCCGCGAACTTTCTGAACTTGTCCGGGTGCTGTGCGAGGAACAGGATGGCAGACCAGAACAGGTTCGTGTCTGGGTCCAGCCCGCCGATGAAGATGTGATTGGCCTGCGCCAGAATCCAGTCCATGTTGGTGTTGGGCATGGACTTGCCCTCCTGGATGAACGAGGTAAAATAGTCGCGCTGCTTGAAATCCTTGGCATTCTCCACGCGGTTGGCCACGATTTTCTTGTGCTTGCGAAGGAGCTTGACCAAGCTGCGCGGCAGGATGAGATAGACGAGTGGGTGGACGAAGGGCCCCAGGCGCTTGAAGGCCTGGTCCATTGTGACCCAGACGGTGACGGCGTTGAACCATCTAAGCAGGTCCGCGTCTTTCTCGTTCTCGATGTTCCCAAAGTCGTAGCCGTAGCCCAGGCTCCCGGCCAGGTCGCAGGCGATCCAGTCGCTCCACTAAACACCATTCAGTTGCGCTGCGTGGAGAGAGAGTAAAATTGATTGTTGAAGAGATGAAAACAACTCACGATGGTCAAGTCCATGCCCTCGGGCGTGTCGCCCTTCTGCGCCATCTTGTTGATGGCTTTATCGACCACCCCGTGCAGCACGGGATCCTGCTCTTTGAGGGCGCGTGGACTGAAAGCCGGAGCCATCCACTTGCGAATGGTGCGGTGCTTCTCGGGATCCGACTCGGCAGCGAGTCCGGTGTGTGGCCCTATTTTAAAGTAAAAGCTGGATTTTCTAAACGCGGGCTTTCCCTTGGTGCCGCTTAGAAGGATATCTAGGTGAAAGATAAGTACTCGTTAGGACTGGTGGGCCCAAGGATGGGAGACTGAGGAATGACTGACCATTCTGGGCCTGGACGGTGAAGAAGACAATCTCGTTTGGCGCGATGCGTACGACGTCGCCTGTGGGGTTATCTGCGTGTTAACGACAAGGTAATGAAGGAGCGAAGAGGATTGTGGGCAACTGCTGACCGTATTTCTTCAAGGCAGCTTCAATGGACCATGGGTAACGTCCCTTGAACCACTGATACATGTACCAAGTGTTGCTGAGTGCCGCCCATTTAGGGCCTGGGTACTTGGCATAGGGGTGGAAGTTGAGGAGGTAGATGGCGCGCACGATATGGTAGACAAGGTACTAGGTCGATGCAAGAGCGGCTGTTAGTTCTCCTTGGGGTTATTTGGACCCAACTTGAAGGAATGTACAAAAAACATACAAGCCCCGCGGAAAACTTGAGCCAACTAGTCAGGGGAACCTGCCCCAGGGCTTCCTTAAAGTCGGCGACAGAATTCATGGTTGTCATTGACGATGGCGAACCGACAAACGGCAGATTGACCCGCCAAGCTTCAGACATTGTTGAGAGTTCGTGGCAGTCCTCTTTTTGTCGTTGGAAATTTGAACTGTCTGGGCGTCAGATGAGGACGCCGATTGAACAACCTTATGCTTGATGGCGGCCTGCCACGCAGCTATCCTTTAGACAGAACCGCAAGAAAGCGACACTGCGACCCGCGGAGCCGTTTACCGTTGGTTCGTGATAGCTGCAGGGTCGGAGCGACCAGTCTTTGCGCAGCTTTAGGCGAGTGGCGAGTAACAAGGCAGTCCCAAACACAAAGAGGGCCGGGACGATCCTTCAAGTGTGCATAAACCCTCCGACACAAATGTAACAGCTCCAGTGAGGAGATCGGGACGTCGGCGGCGGCTTATTCTTTGCTCCGAATTCGGTCTTCGGAATACTATACCAAGTCAACTACACGCTGGCTCCGGCACTCCACCCACCTCTTCCTCGGACCCGGATCATCGAGGGCAGAGTTACATGCGGATAGTTCAGAACAAGGAGCGTGCTGCGGTGGCAAGTGGTGGTTTACCGGGGGCCGCCACTGTAGCGGCTAACATGGCGGAAAAATGAGCTTCCGTGAAGAACCTCAATGGCAGCAAGGTGAGATATAGGTCGTGTAGAATGCTCCCCGACTGTCGGGAGAGAGCCTCAGAGTACTTTCGACAGCGACATCTGAGATTTTAGCTGAGCATGTTACATGTACCCAAAGAGCGAAATACCGCACCACCACAACAAGCCCTTGACTTGAACTTGCGGTACTCGCCTAGACGGCACAGCCTTTTTGTGTCGTGTCCTGTCTGTTGATCAGTCCCAGAAACCAAGAACCAAAATGTCTTCGGCCAAGTCGACCAACGAGCCCATCGCGGTGATCGGCTCCGCCTGTCGCTTCGCGGGCGGTTCCAGCAGCCCCTCTAAGCTATGGGACCTGCTCAAAGAGCCCCGTGACGTGCTGAAAGATATCCCAGACAGCCGCTTCAGCGCTGAGGGCTTCTACCACCCTGACGGCTCGTACCACGGCCGCTCCAACGTCAAGGCCTCGTATCTCATCGAGGAGGATGTGCGGACCTTTGACGCCCAGTTCTTTGGCATCAAGCCTGTCGAGGCCGGCGCTATCGACCCACAGCAGCGCCTGTTACTAGAGACGGTGTACGAGGCGCTCGAGTCGGCGGGGCAGTCAATCCAGAGCCTCCGCGGCAGCGACACGGGCGTGTACGCGGGCCAGATGTGCAGCGACTTTGAGTTCCTAGCATACCGCGACCTCGATGAGCTGCCCACGTACCGTAAGTGGAAAAAATAATTATCCAGTATCCAGACCAGGGAAATGCTGACTCTGGCATGACAATTTAGATGCCACCGGCACAGGCCGCAGCATTATGGCCAACCGCGTCTCCTACTTCTTTGACTGGCACGGGCCGTCGATGACGCTCGACACGGCTTGCTCGTCCAGCTTGTACGCCGTGTACCTCGCGGCCCAGGCGTTGCGGTCGGGCGAGTCGCGCGCAGCCGTCGCGTGCGGGACCAACCTTCTCCTTGGACCCGAGTACTTTGTCAGCGAAAGCAAGCTCAATATGCTGTCACCGGACTCGAGATCGCGGATGTGGGATGATGCGGCGAATGGATATGCGCGAGGAGACGGTGTGGCTGCAGTGGTTGGTACGTTTCCCCTGAAGCTGGTGCTTGTCTCTGGTTTCACCAAAAATAAAAAATAAAAATATTGACCGCTAATCAACACAACGGCTTCACCACAGTCAAAACACTGAGTGCCGCACTTGAAGATGGCGACGATATTGACTGCATCATTCGCGAGGTCTGCGTCAACCAGGATGGCGCCACAAGCGGCATCACCATGCCCAGCGCCAAGGCGCAAGCCGCGCTCATCCGGCAAACATATACCAAAGCCGGCCTCGACTACCTTGGCGACGGCAGACCCCAGTACGTCGAGGCGCACGGAACCGGGACGCCAGCTGGTGACCCGATCGAGGCCGAAGCGCTCAGTACCGCCTTCTTCCCAGATGGTACCCCACAGGCACAGTCACAGCAGCCGATCTATGTCGGCTCAATCAAGACGGTCCTGGGCCACACCGAGGGAACCGCCGGAGTGGCGGCCTTGATCAAAGTGTCGCTGGCGCTTCAGCATGGTTTGATTCCGCCAAACATGCACTTCAACCAGCTCAACCCCAAAATTGAGCCCTTTTACCACAGCCTCCAGATCCCTACCTCCCTGGGCGAGTGGCCGGTTCTACCTGCAGGGCAAGCGCGCCGTGCCAGCATCAACAGCTTTGGATTTGGAGGTGCCAACGCGCATGCCGTCATCGAGAACTACATTCCCGAGCTTCACAGTTCGAATTTGATAAGTCGAAAGACTCTACTCTCTCCACAACGACCCGCGGCACTTCCCTTTGGAGTGTATGGTCATGGTGGGCTGCTGATTGATACCAAGAGTGAGGGTGGTTTCGATGACGAACACCAGCCCGAGCAACTTCCAATGGGGCCCTACGTCTTCTCGGCTGCGTCGGAGCAATCCCTCGTTGCCAATCTCGAGGCCTATTCTGCATATCTGGCCGGGCCAAGCGCCACCGCGCTCAACCCTCGCGACCTGGCATGGACTCTGCGCCAGCGCCGTTCTAATCTGCCTTTCAAGGTGGCTTTCCCGGCTGGCTCAATCGAGCAACTCCGATCCAGCATTGACGCAAGGTTAGAAGAAGCCAAGTCCAACAAGACGGCGCTGGGACGGAGGTCATTGCTGCCGCAGAACAGTAAGCCCCGAGTACTCGCCGTTTTTACTGGTCAAGGCGCACAGTACGCCCGCATGGGAGCTGAGCTACTCAATCGCTCTCCCATGGCGCGGCAAACCATCACCCAGCTCGAAGGGCATCTGGCCGCCCTTCCCGAGTCGCAGCGGCCTCGGTGGTCTCTGGAGCAGGAACTGCGGGCCCCGCCCGCCACAAGCCGTCTAAACGAGGCCACCTTGTCTCAGCCTCTCTGCACGGCGCTGCAGATCGTACAGGTGGACCTCCTACGCGTTGCAGGCGTCGAGTTCACGGGAGCCGTTGGGCACTCGAGCGGCGAGATTGGCGCCGCCTATGCCGCCGGTCTCCTGTCAGCCCGCGATGCGCTATTGGTGGCCTACTTCCGGGGCTTGACCGCGTCCAGCGCTGCCAGCCCCAGCGGCGCCCATGTCAAGGGAGCCATGATGGCCGTGGGCACCTCGATGGAGGACGCGGCCGAGATTGTTGCCGAGTTCGAAGGCGCAGCCACGGTGGCGGCTTGCAACTCGTCGGCCAGCGTCACGCTCTCAGGCGACCAAGACGCCATCGACGAGTTGGCCATCATTTTCGAGGACGAGGGGAAGTTCAATCGCAAGCTCAAGGTCGACAAGGCGTACCATTCGAGCCATATGCTGCCTTGCTCGGCGCCGTACATTCAGGCCCTTGGCGGCAGTGGTATCAAGGTGCGGGCTCCTGCCCCTGGCAACTCCAAGGGCCGCCCTGTCTGGTACTCCACTGTGTACCCAGACCTGGATATGTCTTCCCCTGAAGCGCTGGGAAAACTGCAAGATGGCAGCTATTGGTCTGACAATATGGTGCAGCCGGTGCTTTTCTACCAGGGGTTGAACAAGGCACTGGCGGCGACTGGAACGTTTGACCTCGCGATTGAGATCGGCCCGCACCCGGCGCTCAAGGGCCCAGCAACCCAGACCATACAAGAGGCGCTGAACCGTGACATCCCTTATCATGGCGTGCTCGCCCGCGGCACCGCGGCCGATGTCGCCCTCTCTGCTGCTCTTGGCTTCCTCTGGAGCCAGGAGAGCACGTCCCAGTCACTGGTCAACCTTGAATCGTTCGAAATCGCCGCCGGCGCCGCCAAGAGCGACGGGTACCGAGTTTTGAAAGGGCTGCCCTCGTACCAGTGGAACCACGAACGGGCCTACTGGAGGGAGTCGCGACGCTCCCGCCGCCTTCGCACTCGCAAGGTGCGTGTCAATCCCATCCTCGGAGCCGTCGAGCCCGAGATCTCGACCACGCAACAACGCTGGCGCAACATACTCCGGGAGCGCGAGATCCCATGGCTGTCGGGCCATCAGCTGCAGGGCCGCACGGTCTTCCCGGCTGCCGGATATGTATCGACACTGATCGAGGCTGTGCGCCAGCTCCCGCAGATTGCCGATGCCGGTGGTGATAGTAGTAACACGATTCGCTTGATCGATATCTCCAACTTCCGCATCTTGCAGGCCATATCCTTCGGCGAGGATGACAGCGGCGTCGAGATCCTGGTGACGCTGGAGAACATCCTCAAGGACGACGAGCGCCAGAGCTTGCGGGCACACTTTACTTACTCCTCGGCTTCTGGTTCTGGGCGGGACCCCGACGCCTTTGCCTTGTCCGCGAGCGCCGACGTCGAGGTTCTGCTTGGCGAGCCCGACGAGAGCTTGCTGCCTGCGCGCCAGGCTGACCCGCCCAACTTGGTCGACGTGGCCGACGACCGCTTCTATGGGACCCTGGCTGACCGCGGATATGGATACACTGGGCCGTTCCGCGCCTTGTCTAGCCTTCGCAGGAAGCTGGGAAAGGCTGTTGCCCAGGTCTCCATCCCGCCGCGGCGGCCATTGGACGAATCGGGATCAGAATCGTCATACGAGAACACGCTTCTCGTTCACCCTGGCACGCTGGACGGCGCCATCCAAGCCGTACTTCTTGCCTTCTGCCATCCGGGCGATGGTCAGCTTTGGTCACTGCACGTCCCCACCGTTATGGAGCGGATTCGGGTGAACCCAGCCCTCTGCGGGTCTGGCTGGGGAGAGGCCGAGTCCGTTCACGTGGCCGCCATGTCGGAGGCTAGTGCCGATGGTGATAAGACAGGCATGGCGGGCGACGTGGACATCTTTGCTGCACCAAGAGGTAACTGGGCTGCAGAACACGCCGCCATTCAGGTCGAAGGCGTACGCACCGTCCCTTTTGCTGGTGCGACGGCTGCCGACGATGACAGGATATTTGGTAGGATGCGCTGGGCGAACGGCAGTCCGGACGGCGACGACATGTTGGCCTTGGATGCTGAGACCACGCCGTTCGAACGCAACCTCGTTGTGGGCGCCGAGCGTGCCGCCCTCTTCTACCTGCGCGAGTTTGAGCGGGATCTGGCTCCCGACCACCCCGTGAGAAGCCACCCAACCTACAGCCACTACCTCGCCTTTGCGCGTCATATGAACGGGCTTCAGAACCAGGGCCGCCACAAGCATGCTCGCAAGGAGTGGGCCAGTGACACCCTAGAAGATGTTCTCGCTGCTACGGAGCCCTTCAAGGACTGCATTGACATCCGCATCATCCACAAGGTCGGCGAGATCATGTCTCCCATCTTCGATAACACGGCGCCTGTCGTTCCGGAGCAAACTGTTCCCTTGCCCATCGAGCTTCTGGCAGAGTACTACGCCGACGCCGTTGGCTCGAATCAGTGTGCCCAATGGCTGGGCCGAGCGGTGAAGCAGCTCGTGCACCGTTACCCGAACATGAACATCCTCGAGGTCGGCGCCGGGACCGGAGCCGCGACCAAGCCCATCCTAGCCCACATCGGAGCCCAGGGATTCTCGTCGTATACCTACACCGATATCTCAGCCTACTTCTTCGAAGAGGCCACCTCGATCTTTGCGCCCTACGCGAAGCGCATGATTTTCAAGACACTGGACGCGGCGCGGGACCCCATCTCACAGGGCTACACCCCAGGCTCGTACGACCTAATAGTGGCAGCGTCCGTCCTTCACGCAACTCCAAGACTGGGGCAAACTCTGCGCAACCTCCGTCGGCTCCTACGCCCCGGCGGCTTCCTTATCGTCAACGAATCTACCAACAGCACATTTGCCCGCGATGGCTTCATCTTCGGCACCATGCCAGGCTGGTGGACAGGAATGGACGAAGGCCGTACTCTCTCTCCGCTCGTGGGGCCCGAGCATTGGGACGAGTTGTTGAGGGAGAGCGGCTTCTCGGGGGTGGACACGATCACGCCTTTGGAGGCGGTCCAGGAGACGCACTCCAACGCCGTCTTTGTCTCGCAGGCCGTTGATGATACGGTCTCGTTTCTGCGTGAGCCGCTGTCGTCTCCTTTCCCCGGTGGTGGTGGTGGTGACGGTGCAAGTCTGCAAGACCTAGTCATCATAGGCGGGGCTACACTCCGCACGGGTCGCGTCGTGTCGGAAATCAAGCGCGCCCTTGCTCCTCACGTCTCGGGCAGCGTCATCACCTTCAAGCGTCTGCTTGACCTGCCTGCGGACTGGCACTCCAACCTGTCGCCAGACGCCTGCGTGCTAAGCCTCTCGGAACTTGATTCCCCCGTATTCGAGGATCTGACGGCGGCCAGCTTCGACGCCCTCAAGAGGCTCGTGGCCGTCGAGCATACCCTCCTGTGGGTCACGCGCGGCAAGCTGTCGGGTGACAGCGCCGCGTCCGGCATGAGCGCGGGATTCCTCCGCGCCGTCGTCCACGAGGTCCCCGGCCTCCGGGTGCAGTGCGTCGATCTGGACCCCGAACTCCACCCTGGTGGTGGGGCTAACGGTCGAGCGGACGCCGCTCTCCTCGCCGAGGCGCTGCTGCGGTTCCGGCATCTCGCCCGAATCCAGACTCAGGTACAGACGACGCAGGCTCAGGAACCGCCGCTGTGGTCTGTCGAGCCCGAGATCGCCGTGGACGCGCGTGGCCACCAGCTGGTGCCGCGCTTCCTGCCCGACATTGACGCCAATGATCGGTTTAACTCGGCTAGGCGGACCATTACGCGTGAGCTGGACGTGCGCGAGCTGACGCTGCCGTCACGGTGGAGACGGAGAAGGACAAGGACAAGACGGGTTACCGGGTTGTCGACACCTCCCTGCTTCGGGACGCGGATAAACTGGCTTCCGAGTTGGGCAGCAACACTACGGAGCTGCGTGCGACGACCGCAATCATCTCCCCGGTCGATACTCCTCTTGGTCCGCTCTTCTTGACTTTGGGTCTGGAGGAGGAAGAAGAGGCCGGTGACTCCCGCTTCTTGGCCTTGGCCGAGTCTCTAACGTCCAGAGTCAGGGTCCCAAGGTCTGCCACCGCTCTTATCGCCAACTCCAAGGGGCGTGTTACTACCTCGCCGTCGTCTCCGGGAATCCGTGAGACTGAGGACGCAAAGCTCCTGGTCCAGGTTGCCGCCCACCTCCTCGCCGAGTCTGCACTCCAGGGTCTCGTGCCGGGCCAAAGCATCACATTCCACAACGCTTCGAGCGGTCTCGCGCGCGTGTTGGGACGGCGGGCGGCGGAGCGGAGTCTCAATGCCATCTTTACGACCAGTCGGGGTGCCGAGACGACTGGGGGAGATCATGCTGCTGCCACAACCATCTCAATCCCAGCTTTCTTACCAGCAAGGGAGATACGATCTCGGCTGCCCAAGGATCTGGCTCGCTTCGTCATCGCATCGGCCCAAGACTCCCACCCGGCGGAGACAGAGAGAATTGCGGCCGTGCTGCCTGTCAATTGTCGCGTGGACCGTCTTACCACCGCCGCCTTCCAGGGCCAACCGGGCAGGGACCTGTCTGGAATGTCACCTTCTCCTTACCGTTCCGCGACAGAAAGTGCCCATGGAATGTTGGGGGACACCCTCCAGCGGGCCCTGAAGCATGCGCAAGAGGATCTCAAGATGCCGCCGCCTATCGACGTCGATGTCGATTTCACGGTCCATACTGTCAGCGCTAGCGACTTGACTGCTGCCACCTCGGTGCTCCAGGACCCTCTTGCAGTGCTCGATTGGCAAGCTGCCCCCATTGTGCAAGCCCGTATCAGCCGGTTAGATACCAAGCCTATCTTCAAGTCGGACAGGACCTACTGGCTGGTGGGACTTTCGCGCGGCCTTGGACTTTCCATTTGTGATTGGATGATTGCCAAGGGGGCCAAGTACGTCGTCATTAGTAGCAGGAGCCCCGATGTGGAGGCTGGCTGGGAGGAGAGCTGCCGGAAGAAGGGCGCTGTTGTAAAGATCTTTGCTAAGTCAGTTTTCACTTTTTTTCATCCTTATTCTTGTCCTTTCTCTCGGCACCTATCTGCCTGGAACGACCTTCTTACTAATCGATCATCATGTGCCAGTGATATCACCGACGGCAACTCTGTCGAGACCTTGTACAAGACCATCTGCGACACTCTCCCTCCCCTCGCTGGAGTCATGATGGGAGCCATGGTCCTCCGTGACCGACTTGTCCGTGACATGACATTCGAAGACATGCAGATCGTTCTCGGCCCCAAGGTAGACGGCAGTCGCCACCTTGACCGCCTACTAGGCGACCGTCCTCTTGACTTTTTCATCTACTTCTCCTCCATGATGCAGGTCCTAGGCAACCTCGGGCAAGCCAACTATGTCACCGCCAACGCCGCCTTCCCCGCCCTCGCTGCTCAGCGTCGGAAGCGGGGCCTGGCGGCCAGCATTGTGGACATCGGCGCCGTCTCGGGCGCCGGTGCCTTTGGCGTCTTTTCAAGCGAGTCGGCAGACAACGGCGAAAACAGCCTGCTCCTCGTCGGCCTGCGTCGCGTCTCCGAGATAGACGTGTACCAGCTCCTCGCCGAGGCCATTAACTCCGGGTACGGCCACCTGCCGCTGGGGCCGGGTGAGGAGCCGGCCATCGGGCTCGGGATGCGCTTTGTCTCGCCCGGTGAGCCCTCCCTTCCCAGGTGGTTCGGCAACCCGAAATTCGCGGGCTTCGTGCTTCGTGATGAGGACGAGGACAGTGCGCACCACGGCTCCGCAAACGGCAAGAACGCCGCCTCGGTGCAGGAGAGACTGCTCCAGGCGCAGAACACGACGCAGGTCCACGAGGCCATCAGAGACTCGTTCCTTGCCAAGGTCCGGCCGATGCTGCAGATCGAGGGCGCCGACGACGACGCGCTCATGAGGATGCGCAGCAACGAGATTGGCATGGACTCGCTCATCGCCGTCGACATCCGCTCTTGGTTCCTCAAGCAGCTCTCCGTCAGCATCCCCGTTCTCAAGATTCTCAACGGGGTGTCGATTGGCGAGCTCGTCGACGAGGCCGTGGCCAAGATTTCCCCTGAGCTTGTCCCGAGCCTTAATTCGGATTCGGCTTTGCCTCCCAGGCCTACATCCGCCGGATCTTCGGTCCCGTCGTCATCATCGTCCTCGTCATCAGTCCCCAACTCTCCAGCAAGTCCAGCCACCGAGGCCACCTCCCGGATGTCGCACGAGACGGTCGGGGAGGCTGACCAGGACCTCGTCTCGCTCCCAAAAGGCAAGCAGTCCGAAATACCTGCTGTCATGACCAAACCGTTGACACTTGAAAGATCCATAAGCCTCTCGCACACCCAGTCCATGTTCTGGGTGGTCCACTCGCTGCTCGAGGACAAGACCACCCTCAACCATACGGGCTTCACTCGCATGACGGGGCGGGTGCGGGTGCAGGACCTCAAGGCGGCCGTCCAGCAGCTCTCGAATCGTCATGAGAGCATGCGCGCTTGCTTTTATCTGGAAGACCATGTCGTCAAGCAGGGCATCCTCAAGACGGGCAGAGTAGAGCTGGAGCACAGGGAGATAGGAAGCTACGAGGAGGTGGAGCAAGAATTTGATCAATTGAAAAAGCACGTCTACGACCTTGCTCGGGGCAAATTCATGCGCATCATCCTCCTGACGCGGACCGATTCCCCGACCGACAATTACCTAATGATCGGCGCACACCACGTCAACTTTGACGGCATGTGCACCCAGATCATCCTCCGCGACCTTGAGGCTTTCTACAGCCGCCGGGCTAATTTGGCCCTGAGTTCGGCGGTCAACCAGTACAGCGCCTTCATCGATAAGCAGCGAGAGGACGAGATCACCGGGGCATGGGATGGCGACCTTGCCTTTTGGCGTCGCGAGTTCGCCACCATCCCCGAGCCGCTGCCGCTGTCGCGTGCCAGGGTCTCGGCACGGAAGCCTTTGCTGCGGTACGACGTGCATTTGGTCGAATTCAGGCTTGATCCGGCCCTGGCGGAACGGGTACGGGCTGCGGCCCGGCAGCACAGGGGCGGCACCGCTTTTCATTTCTATCTCGCTGCGTTCCGCATCCTCTTGCAGCGGTTCCTCAGCCTCGGCGCCAGCAGCCATGGCGGCCAGCAGAATCAGCCAGCGAGTAATAACGGCGGTGATGATGATGATGATATCTGCATCGGCATCGCCGATGCAAACCGACACGACGAAGAAACGCTCGGCAGCGTTGGCCCCTACATGAACCTCCTGGCGCTGCGGTTCCAAGACCGGCCTGCCACGTTCGCATCGGCACTTGCATCGGCGCGCGACAAGGCCTTTGCTGCGTTGAGCCACGCCGCGCCGCCCTTCGACACCGTGCTGCAAGCCTTGCGCGTGCCCCGTGACGTGTCGCACGCTCCGCTTTTTCAGGCCTTCCTCGATTACCGGCTCGGGTTTCCCGGCCAGCAGCCGTTTGCGGACTGCACGCTTGAGGCGCCGCGGTTCGAGCTCGGGCGGACAGCTTATGACCTGAGCGTGGATATTATTGATACTAACAACAACAGCAGCGACGCCAGCAGCGCCACCGGAGATGGAGGCGGAGGTAATGATGTGCTAGTGTCGGTGTATGGACAGGCTGCTCTCTACGAGCAGGAGGATGTTCGTGTCTTTGCTGCCTGTTTCGAGGACCTGATTAGGGAGTTTGCGCATGAACCGAGCAGGAGCTTGGTTGGGACCGGGAGCGAGTGGAGTTATCGTGATGCGGATGTCACCAAGGCGTTGGAGCTCGGCAGAGGTCCCGCATTTGAAACACGATGGCCCGGCACGTTGGCACACCGGCTCGACGACGTGGTGGCCGCAAATGGAGACAAGTTGGCTGTCCGGCTTGCAGTTACGACGACCGGCAGCGAGGGTGGTGATTATCTCACCTACAAACAGCTCGATGACAAGACGAACGCCATCGCTGCCGCGTTGATGGAAAACGGCGTGTCCAGGGGCCAGTACGTCGCCGTCTACCAGGAGTTAACGCCAGACTGGATCTGCTCAATTCTGGGCATTCTCAAAATCGGAGCTGTTTACGTGCCACTGGACCCAGGCACGCCCGTTGCCCGGCTCGCCATGGTTGTGGCTACATGCCATCCTGCTGCCCTTCTCGTGGACAAAACGACACAATCTGGTAGTACCGCCCTTGCCCTCGCCCTCGATACCTACCCCACTACCGTGATCGAAGTGTCAACAGTCCTAGAGCCTGCATTTAAGCCCAACAACCTCCAGCGGCGGATACAGACCGTGCCGGATGCCCGCGACCCAGCCATCGCCCTCCACACGAGTGGCACCACGGGAACTCCCAAGGTCATTGTCCTGACACACGCCAACCTTGCCAACGAGGTCGAATCCTCGACCAAGACCTACGGGCTGGATTCCAACGTCACCGTCCTGCAGCAGAGCGCATCCGGTTTCGACATGTCGGTCCTGCAAATCATGCTGGCCCTGGCTTTGGGCGGGACGCTTGTAGTTGTGCCGCGCGGGTTTCGTGGAGACGCCGTGGCCGTGACCGAGTTCATCGCCGAGCACAAGGTGACGTACACGTGCGCGACCCCGACCGAGTACCGCAGCTGGTTCCGGCACGGCGACTGCGCGGCTCTGCGGCGCTCTCACTGGTCCGTCGCACTTAGCGGTGGCGAGGCCGTCGACCATTCACTCCTCGGTGCCTTTCGCGAGCACTTTGGGGTCGGTGCCGAGTCGTCGCCCGAGAACATGCGGCCTTTCAGGCTGTTCAACGGCTATGGCCCCGCCGAGACAACTTGCTGCTCCGCCTCCATCGAGCTCACATCCATGCTTACATCCTCGGCCACGACCCCGGCCACGATCCCGGCCGGACCTGCCTGTGCCAACGAGTCCGTCTACATCCTCGACGAGGAGATGCGCCCCCTGCCACTCGGCCTGCCCGGCGAGATCTGCATCGGCGGCGTGGCCGTGGCGCGCGGATATTTGGAATTGGGCGAACAGCCGGTCCTCACCGCCCGAGCCTTTGTTCGGAATCCCTTCGCCACCCAAGAATACATACGCAAGGGATGGACAACCATGTTCCGCACCAGAGACAGAGGCCGCCTCCTGCCTGACGGATCTCTAGTCGTCGAGGGCCGGATTGGCGACGACACCCAGATCAAGATCCGCGGCGTCCGCATTGACTGCGGGACATCGAGCAGACTATAGTCCAGGCCTCTGAGGGCGCAGTGGTCGAGGCTGTTGCTGTTGCGCGGACGACGACGACCTCGTGCTCATCCGCTGCAGAGCAAGATTCCAAGTTTGTCGTTGGCTACGTCGTCTTGGATGCCGAGTTCCTCAGTCATGACGTGCAGCCACTTGAAGAAGGACCAACTGCGGCAACTTCACGAGTACAGGGATACCTGGCTCGCCTCCTCTCAGACCTGCCACTCCCGCGTACCGTCCGACCCAGCATGCTCATTCCGATTGACAAAGTGCCACGCACCACTTCTGGAAAGACGGACCGACGCGCGCTAGCGGTCCTGTCTCTCGACCAATCGTCCGCCTCCTCCAATACCACACACCAAGAACAGCCCCTAACAGACATGGAGCTGCGCGTCCAGGCCATATGGGAGCAGGTCTTGAACTCCCAGCCTCATCCGGGTGAACATGTCAATCACCATAATACATATGAGACCCCCCTTGTCACGGCGCAAGATACCGACTTCTTCCACGTTGGCGGGACGTCAATGCTGCTCCTAGATCTACGGCAGCAGATCAAAAGACAGCTGGGACTCTCGGTCCCATTGATGCAATTGTTTGAGCACAGCACGCTGGGCGCCATGGCCACCTTTCTCACCGCGCAGGAAGCGAATCAGCAAGCTAATATTGTTGCTGCTTCACCCCAACCCCGAATCGACATCGACTGGGAGGCTGAGGCGACTCCTTCTGATGAACTTCGCCAGCTGGCGGGGCAATTCCAAACCCCCCTCCCGCGCAGTAGCAGTATCATTGACGAAGCTGAGGCCGAGACAAACCACACCGCGCCAACGGTGATCCTCACAGGCGCTTCAGGCATTCTCGGACGCCAGGTCCTCCACCGCCTTCTAGCCTCGCAGCGAACCGGCACCATCGGCAAAATCATATGCGTCGCCCTGCGACAGATCAAATCCCGCGTCGCCTCAAACGCCCTGCCGGCCCCAACAACGCACCTAATCTACCTGCCTGGCGATCTCCGGCAAAAGCGGCTGGGCCTGACGCCAGCCGAGTGGGCATCTGTCGCGGCGCAGGCAGACACCATCGTCCACGTCGGCGCCGAGGTCTCCCACACCAAGACCTACGCCACGCTGCGGGCCGCCAACGTGGACGCTACCGCCGAGCTGGCGAGGCTGTGCCTTGAGGCGGGGGTATTATCGCGTCGTCCAGTTCCCTTCCACTTTGTCTCGACGGGCGAGATCCCCATGCTCGGGTCGTCGAACGGGACCGAGGAGAGCGAGACGCTGATACTCTACGAGGAGTCGGTACGGTCTGCCCAGGTGGTACCCGACCAAGGGGATGCGGTCGCTAGGGGTTACGCCGCCACCAAGTGGGTGGGCGAGAGGATGCTTGAGAACCTCGCCGATATTTCTGGCGGTATCGCTAGTACTAAAGCGGGATCCTTCCGCGTCTGGATCCACCGGCCCTCGGCCATCACGACGCCGCAGGACGAGACGGCCGTGGGGCCTGACGCGCCCATCCTCCCGAGGATTTTGTTTTACTCGCGCCTGTTGAGGGCCGTCCCTGGGGACGGGACCAGCGGTGGGTTTGGAATCCGGGGCTCGATGGACTTTGTACCGCTGGAGAAGGTGGCTGAGGATATTGTCAATGTCGTTGTGGAGGCTGCCAGCAGCACTCAGGCTGTTGGCGATATTGATGATGATGACGTGAAGGAGGCTGACACCACTGACAACACTCGGGCGGTGACCAGGGGTGTTCAAAGCGGGGGAGTCACGTACGTACATCACACAGGGGGCACCGTCATGGAGCTGGCGACGTTGCGGAAGGTCCTGGAGGCAGAGGAGGAGAAGGCCACCGGGCAATCGGAGAGGTATCTTGCTGATGGGGAGGAGACAAGGGCAAGGCGGTTCGAGGTCCTGCCGTTTAAGGAGTGGACGGACAAGGCGGAGGCGGCCGGCTTGCACCCGCTGCTTGCCGGGTTGTTTCGGGGGGTTGAGCAGCAGAAGAGGGCGGTGGTTTTTCCTAGGTTTGTTAAAGGTCCCAGGTAGCTTTATATGGGCGAGGGAGAGGGAGGATGGGGTGATTTTGATGGGGTTGTTATGCGAATCTTCTTTTTCGGTTGACGTACTTTATCAGCGAGTCGGTCATATAAGTGGGCCGGTCACTTTTGACCACCCTTCGAATACCATCCTCCATTATAATACAACGAAACTATCAACCAACTATAATAACATCAGAAACAGCTGAGTCTGAGGCATATGCAGCCTCCTGGCAAGTGCGCGCATTATGGCCAGGCTTGCCGCATACACCACAGCACTGAGTCTTCGTACGAGACCCCCCTGTACCACCACCACTTTATCGATTTTCCTGGATTACGTGCTCGCCCACGGCCTTCTGATCCAGTAGATCCTGTGGCTCTTGTACAGTAAGTGACCCTCCAAGCCTCACACGTATTTTTTTGGCTCTCCGGCACTTACTTAGTGCCTTATTGGCCTTACGGAGCGAAGAGACCTCTGCACGAAGGAGAGCCACCTAGTGCATTATAGCCGTTATACCCTTAGTAAGCTAGTCTACCGTAGTTAGCATTAAAGTCGGGGAGCTATTTTGATAGTTAGTAAT